AATTATCCCCATCTTACAGATAAGAAAAACCAAGGCACAGGATTGCTAAGTGAATTAAGATGCACATAAATAAACAACAACAAAAAAAATGCCAATGCTGGGTTTGAACTGAGTCTGGTTTTAAAGACTTTTATGTTCAAACTAAGTGTTAGCTGTCTTTTCTGGAGTTTGTGCCATTTCTCCTCAGGGAGTGAGGATAGAGGAAGTGGTTTGGATGAGACTGCTGGAAAACAGCAGTCACCACATGATGAAGTCAGCAGTCTGGAAGCCTGAGGGGGGGTGGCATGGAGGGGGCGGGAGATGGGGAGCCCTAACAAGCAAACAAACTGCTGGTGTTGAAGACCAGATGTCAGCACAGGCAAGGAATGGGGCCTGAGGCCAGGGCACTGGATCAGACTTCCTTCTTCCATGACCCTTTGCGTGGGCCATCATGGCACAACTCCCGACACTTCTGCATGACCTGATCCTTCTCATTCCAATAAATGCAGAATCTGTGAGGTCCCTTATGGGTTTCTAAACCAACTCCTCCAATATAGTCTACATGGTACATCTCTTCACTTACTCCCAACCCTTCCCAGGAGCTTCTGGAGGACTCTTTCTATCTGGTTAAGCACAGAGAGCTAGCTTAGGAGTGCTGACCTGGCTCAAAGGGTTTGGAGATGATCTCTTAATGTCAACAAATTCAGCTTAACACACTTATGAAGACAGGCAATTCTAACTATACTACTCTCTACTTGGGTGGTTTGTAGACTACAGTGTATTTCTCTGTGTTCCTAGCTGACTCATCCATTAAAAATGGGATAAGAATTCCTCCTTCACTAGTTGAGTACACAACCACAGACATCCACAAGTGATCAGTAGTAAATAGTAACTTTTGAGGCCATATTTGATCTGGGACTTTTGTCACCATTTGGAGGTAAAAAACACAAAACCTGTTCTCAAGTGGTCTGCCATAACAAGAGATAGAATGATGGGGGAATCAATAAAGTTGAACTATATTAGCAACTTGTGGACAAGGTCAAGGTGCTACTAGGGAAGGGGAGTACACTCAGTCTGAATCAAGGTGGGGTGAGACAACTTCCTGAGGATGACATCAAAGCCATGGGTGGGTGCCCAATTTTGGTTAATGTGTAGCCACATCTTGGGTAGCCAATATTACATCAAGGATGCCAGCTGTTTGCTTTGGTAACTCCTTGCTCTTAGGTCTTGCTTTGAAAACAAAAGCTCTTCTGTGAAAATCAATGAGCTTACCTCACAAGGTGCTTTGGATTCTGAATAATCTGGATATAGTCACCCTAAGTTAATAACCACACAATTAAGATGAGAGTTCAGGAAACTGGAAGGGATGGTGAAGGCAGAGACTAAATACCTATGTATATGTGGACATGGCAGGTAGGAGTGTATGTTTGTGTGTGTGTGTGTGTGTGCCCACGCGCGCATGTGAGTTAGTATTGTATGAATGTGTTCGTATGGATGTATGTACCTGTATGTGGAGACCAGAGGTTGATGTCAAATGTTCTTGACATCCCTGATTTTTTTCTACCTTGATTTTGAAGACAGGTTCATTTACTGACTCTGGAATTGGTTTACTAAGCTAGCCTGGCTGACCAATGAACTTCAGAGATCTGCCAGTCCTGGATTTACAGACCTGGTGCCACTGCCGCTCTTGGCTATTTATGTGGATGCTGGGGATGAAATTTGAGTCCTCAAGCCTGTATAGCAAGTGCATCATTGGCTGATCCATCTCCCCACCCCTTGAATTAACATTTTTGAGAACCTATAACATACCAGGCAGCACGAAGTACCTTGCCTAACAAGAGAAACCCTATGGCAGTTTTCCTGTACACCCCTTTATTGCAGATGATAAACTAAGACACCAATTACTTAAGACATGTGAGCAGGGTTGCACTAAGTAGGTGAGAGAATCAATATGAAAACTCAATATTTAATACTGACTCCAAAACTCATGTTCTTTTTAATGCTATGGGCACTCTACCAAACACACACACTTGCATATGCCTGCTACTTCCTTTTCCAATCTCAAGCCATTTATGAAGTTGTTCATGGTTTTCCATACTAATGTTATCACCAACATGGCCCAACATTTCTTCGTAAACATAAACGAGAGGTGCCCTTGAGCCATGAAAATCTTTCAACACAACTGATGATGTTAAAAGCTCTTGTAATTGGTCTCCTCCCTCCTAGCTTCTTTGGAAGGTGTATTTGTTAGTCTTCTCACTGGGAGATAGAATCTATTTTCTTTTTCCCTGAAATCTGAGCTGCTCTTGGGTTTGGCTTTGGCCAGTATAATATGTTGGTGGAATCACAGAAGGTTAGTTTTGTGCGTTGGACACTAGGAGCTATATAAGCATCCGTTTTCTTCTTAGGTCCTTGCCAGGCCTATACAAGCCAGCTGATAGCATGTGAAAGACATATGGAAACAAACTCTTGGCATCTAAAATAAAGCGATCCTAGATCAGGCAGCTTCTCTCTGAGCAGTTTATCAACAACATAAACATGAATGAGTCAACTGAGCCAGCCCCGATCGCCAGATGCACTGAATCAACCCGTAGACTTGGGAGGAACATTTATCTTAAGCATCTACTTTTGCATCAGCAACTAGCTGATATAACCAAAATGTGAATTCCTTTTTAATTAGGAGTCAACAGAGGCAAAACATGTATTCTTTCCATTTTTAGTCTGTTCTCCAATTTGGACTGATTTCCACCTTGACTGGATGGACCATCTTCCTCTGGGATCTCTCTCCACCATTTTAAGAATTCTCTTTTATTTCCTCAAGTTCACATCTTTCATTTTAGGTAGAGTGCACCCACTCTGAGTTGCCTAAGAGTAAGTGAATGGGCTTGGATACCGTGCATATCTGAAATGTCTCCATTCTGTTCTTACCCTTAATTTGTATCTCAGCTTAGTTGCGAGTCTAGCCTGGAAACAATTCCCTTGAAAATTTCTTCAAGTATAGTTAAATGTATTTAATTTAGCTCAGGCTAAACAGAATGACTTCATGAGGTTCATTTAGTTCAAGTGAGAAGTTCCTATTTTGTTATTTTTGAGGCCTCCAATGACTTTTACAATCCTAGGTGCCCTTGGTTTGATAAGGGCATTACAGGTATACAGGTATTTACTACTCTCCCAGGCTCAGTGTGGTCTGAAGGTCAGATTATTTTGGAAACGTCCAAGCCTCTGGAAAGGTCTTTTGGGGCACATCCCATCTGGGAAGCTTCCCATGGGAAGGAAGCTTTTATTCTACCATGTCTCTTGGCCCTCTTTCTTTCAAAGGAATGAATGAGAAGTCTGATTTTCTTCTGGTTATTTTGTGTTTGTTTGTTTGTTTGTTTTTTGAAACAGGGTCTTTCTGTGTAGCTGGCCTATCAGACGTATGATCTTCCCATCTACTTTTGACTCCTAAGAACTGGGATTCTGGGTGCACAGCATCTTATCCAGCTCTATAGTATCATGCCCAGGCCCTAGTTTGAGTCTTTGTTCTATATTTAAGGTCCAGCTTTCCTTCCTAGAAAATACAGGGTCATCTCTTTCCTGCAAATGTTGAGAATTTTTATGACAATAACTTGATGTAGTTTTGGTTTTGTCTATTTTTCTAAGCATTCATCTGGTACTTAATCAGACACTTGCATTTATAAATTCTGGAGCATTTTCTTGTTTTGTTTTGTTTTGCATGATCACTCCTTTCCATGGTTTTCTCTTTTGGTGTCTTTTGTAATTTGCACATTAGATTTCCTATCAGAGCTCAGTCTTTGGACTGTATATCTCTTTATTTCCATTTCTCTGTCATTGCCTTTGCAATGATATTTCTTGAACTTTATCTTACGAGCCTTCTCTTGTGCTTATTTTAAAACTCTGCCCTTTCAAATGGAAGATTTGATAAACTCCATCTTGAGACATGCTGTGAGTGTTCTTTCTCACCTAAGCATTCTGTCCTCTCTTCATGCTTTGCCTCCCCTTTTACTGAGGCTACTAATGATGGGTTTTGTTTGTTTGTTTTATTTCTTATCCATGAATTGTTTCTTTCTCTTCCAAGTGGCTTTATCTTATTTTCTTTAGTCCATGTGTTTGATGGAGGTACTTTCTGCAAGGACGTAGAACCTCTGTCTTTCAGTGTGCAGAGCTAGGCTTAGAAATCTGGGTGCCTGATGCCCTCTGTGACTTGATCCTTACTGCACAGCTCCTGTGTCCCCTGAGACACTATCATATTAGTTATCTTCAGACTTTTTTCTGGGTTTGTAAAATTCCCTAGAAAGGTGGAGCTTCTTGAAGGAAACAGGACTCTGCCAGTGTTATGGGAGCCAAGGAAAAGGAGAAGACCAGGGAATTTGAGCATTTTCATATGCACAGATTCAGCGTGTGTGTGTGTGTGTGTGTGTGTGTGTGTCTGTGTGTGTATGAGAGAGAGTTATATTCCAACTGTCTCTCTTGTTGCCTTAACTATTTTACTCTCTCCAGAGAATATCATTCTGCTTCTCTGTGGGGACGGTGAGAGGATAATAAGCTGAACTGCATAGAGGAGGGGAGGGGGCTGGGGCTCAAACTGCTCATCCCCCTTCCTCATCATTTGCAGGATAGCTACTGATGCCAATTTCTGGGCCTCTGTGGTACTCAGCTCATAAGTTTGATTATTTCCCAACCCATGTAAAATGTTGGTGGGCATAGTGGTTCACTTGGAACCCTGGAGCAAGCTGGCTAGCAAGACTAGCCATACTGGAGAGCTTTGGGTTTGATTTAAAGACTCTGCCTCAATGAATAAGGTGGAAGAGTCAGCAGAGATGACCTTGACATCGAGCCTCAGGCTTCCATATATATGCCCACTCCAGCATATTTCTCTATACACACGCAAACATAACAAAAAAGGAACATGACTCCAGATGCCTCAGAAACCTCCAAGTTCTTCCATATTACTCAGACATCCAAACAGCCACTCTCTGCCCCTCCCCACTTCCCAAGCCCCTCACATCAGAGATCATGGGTTCCATTTCGTATGGCCTTTTAATATTTTCCAATACACACTTTCAGTTGGGCAATATATACATTATGCTTTTCTCATTATTATTGGTCAATCAATAAATATACAAAAAAAACAGAGAAAGGGAGGGTGGTCTCTGAAAAATCAAAGGAACCATAGCAAAAGTCATTGTACATACATTAACAATTGACTGTATTTGAAAAGTCATCACAGGAGATTTACACGAAGTGGTCGATTCGTATTCTTAGGAACCTTTTAATTCCCAAAGAAGGTGGTTCTATCTTCTACTCTGTTGCTACACTCATGAATGGATGTTGGCTACAAAGCCAGTTCTTGGTGTTATGGATGTCAATGTAAAGCTTTTTTCTTAAAAAGAAGCCTTCAGGATACATGACAAATTCACAATTTCTGGTAAAAATGACATCTGAAGTGCTCATGTTACTTTACAAAAATCACTAAATGCCAGCCCCTAATTTTTATTAACAAACTCCTAGTTCAATGACTTGGTCTATATCACCTGGCAAGTCATTGGTAGGAGTAACACAAAGTCAGATTATGCTACCATAATCATACTCATCATGGCAAGTAATATCCTACCCCAATCCAATTGGTGGGCATATCTAGAATGGGTAGAGAATCATCTCTGGTTCTGAGGCTTACATGGCTCTCCTTGTTCCTATAAAGGGTATCTAGGTATCAAGGAGAGCTTGTCAGAGTCTTTTATACCCTTTATACCCAATTCCAGAGTGGTTCGCTGCATACAGGTTAAAGAGCCTGTTGTGGGTGTGGTAGGCCAGGACAGCTATAAGGACGGGGACATTCTAACACCAGTGGGGAAGAACAAATGGGCACCTAGTGTGTATTTCAACTGGAAAAGAAGAAGAAAACTAGCTGTGTAAATATGGCACTGACTAATAGCATTCACAGAGGAAGTAAAAGAAAATCTGTGGGAGCCAAGTAATTGGGGAGATATGAATAGGGAAGTCTGTGTATTTCCTTAAATAAAGCCTTTTGATATAAACTCAAACCCAATTTAGGTGATAAACTTTTCTCTTGTTTTTTTATTTGAAAAAATATTAAACATATAAATTTATCAACAGTAACATCATGGGAGACTTAGGAAGGAAGTCTCATCTTACAGAAAGCCTTACTTTATAGATTTAATTTCTTCTACAAGTAACCAGGGAAGATCCAGGAGCAATGGGACATTCTGGCAGATGGATAAATGCCACCAAACACTTACCTACTACGTTAAAAAAATGAGGTTAGAGGGTAACACCATTCTCCCTTGGCTAAACCATAAGCCTGCTTATCTGGTGATGAGATTCCAGTAGTGGGCAGCCCTGAGGCTTTCTGGGAGATTCCCAGGCACCTCACTCTGAGGACCAACTGGTTTGTGAAAATATCAACAAACACATCCATGGAAATAGTGGGATGGGTTGTGCACCACACCCTCCTTATGCCAATCTACTGCTTGTTTGTGCACTTTAATTTCTGTTGGCTTCTCCTTTTATTGTAAGGTGTCACAAGCACGCACCATGCTGTTCTGTGAAAACCACTACTAGGATCAGTTTCTATGAAATAGAAGGACATAGAAACGTAATGTTCCCTTTAAGGAAGAGAAAAGGGTGGCCATAGCACAAAGATGACCAAAGCTCTCCTGCTCACAATCCAGACTCCAGAACAGGAGAGAAACCCCTTTCATAGCCCTAGGTACAGAACAGTGCTTCTTTCCTTGATCTTTTAGGAGATTCAGCCAGATGAACCTGAGTTGGGCATAGGTAGTCTGGCACCAGTTTAGGAGGACCGTTCTAAAGTCATCCTGATGTGCTATGAAGACTCAAACCTTGCTGGTTTAGAAACTGAAGGATCACAGCACAACAACAGGTTAAGATGGAAGATTGACAGGTGTTTATTATGAATCAACTTATACCCTGTTATGCTTCTGACAAAGTAACCTAAAAAAAAGTCAAAAGTCATACTGCACAAAGGACCTCCAGGGTTTGATATTTCAAAAACAAAGATAAATAGCTTACTACAGATAAATAGCTTCACCCTTTGGGGATCTCTCAGAAGCATCTGAAAATTTTCCAGCAGAAAGGGGAGTCTATAAAAAGGTGTGTAACCAGTACACCTGATCTCCCACCCAACTGGAAAACAATACCCAAGGACTGGACTTGTGGAGAGGCAATATGGACCCATTCAAATTTCCTCCCAGAGACCAATACCTCTAAGCCCTGGGGTAAGTCCCTGGCTGGTGACTGTTACTTGGGACTTAGTTTAGGGAAAAGATTCAATAGGGACCAAGAATATGCATTTGATCGAAGCCGTCCATAGCATCCCTTGGGAATGCAAGACCTCTAGGAAGGAGCTGGAAGAGTCAAAATCTTAATGGAATATTCTTTGGGCCCTCATTTCAGAAAGCAATGCTGGTTTTTATAAATTGGAATGGACTATTAACAAAATGAAAAAGGAATAGAAATTTTACACAGAAACTACCCCCAATAAAAATAATCAGTAGCACATTGCATCTGTTAAGGGTCCCAGCTCCCAGTATTGACAAGTCTGCGATTTTGGTGTCTTTCCAAATTGCTGGTATAGGCACTACACCCCAATCTTCATGTCCACATTCTGCAGATTCCGGGTCTCATCAGCTGTCATAAACTGGTCAGGAGTCTCTGATGGTTCCTTGTTCACCAAATGCACCATTTCCTGAGACTTGCTGGCCTCCCCGTTGAGCTCACTTGGCTTCCTGTCCTCCACCTTTCCATTGCCACTGTTGATCACCAGCTTTTTCTTCTGTCCACACCTGATGATTTTTAAAAACATCATATGAGAAAAGGCGCACAATCAATCAGTCAGTCAACCAACCATTATCATCATGACTGACACCACAGGGGATATCACCATGATCATCACAATTTAGCATGGTCTTCCCATGTGCTAAGCACTGAGCTTGGTGCCCTTTCTACCTGTTCTTGCTAACTCTTATGGCAGAGTTTCTCTGTGTAGCCCTGCATGTCCTGAAACTCACTCTGTAGACCAGGCTGGTCTCCACCTCAGAGATCTGCCTGCTTCTGCATCCCAAGTGCTGGAATTAAGGTATGTGCCACCACCGCCCACTGACACCAGCACTTCTAATGTGAGGTCCCTAGTCCAGCAATAAAAGCACATGGAAATTATCCACTCTAATGCTTACTGAAGAAGTCAGAAGGCGGTGGGGCCCAGGATCTGAGGTTTAACAGACTATTATTGCAGTTACTCTGGAGGCTGAGACAGGAAGATCACAAGTTCAAGGCCTTCCTCGACTACAAAATGAGTTCAAGACCAACCTGGATAATGAATGAAACCCGGTCTTAAAATAAGAAGGCTAAAGAAGTCTAGGGATATACAGCTTATTGGTAGAGTACTTGCTTAGCATGCAAAATACTCTAGGCTCAGTCTGTGGTACTTGGAAAAAAAAATAATAAACCACCACACTATGGTGGCTTCTGCTGCAGTCAACTTTGAGAATCAGAACTCTAGGTACCCAAAGCTATTATTACACCTAACCCCTTTTAGCTGAAGAAATTCTTGGGGGTCTGAAAATTCAGGTCTTTCTAAGTTAGTTAACAAGCAATGAAAGAGTCAGGATGCAAACCCTGATCCTTCTGACTCTGGAGTCCTGGTTCTTCGTCCCCCACACCGTGCCGTGCAAATGTTTGCCTGTGAAGCATTCAAGTTCCGCAGCCTCAGATAAACTGTGATGACTGTGACCATAAATCATTCTGATCTGTGTATTCAAGAAAGTTCCACTACTTCCTCCTTCACCCAACACCTCACTGCCTTGTCAGTATTATTGCAACTTGGACAGAGAATAAGAAACCCACACTGATTCAGAAGGATAAGGCCATACTGATTTTTTTCTCTCTAAGGTTGGTTAACTTTCACATAGTGCTGCTATAGGACACTTAACCAATGTAAGAAAGACCATTTGTTGTCACTTTGAGATTTCTTAGTAATGTTACTCAAGATTCTCAGACAGGAGAAGGGCTTCTGTGGAAAGCATGACTCTGACCTTGCCCTTGTGAGTCTCATAGCACCGCCTGGACCCACAGAGCCTGACTCAGAGCTTCCTGTTTGCTGTAACCTGTGCACCGCTGTACATATAGCAGTTAGATTAGGCTAATGGATGCATCGTCTTAGAGCTTCACAGCTATGATGAGGGAAAATAGATGAACACTTATTTAATGCATGCTCAATTCCAGACATAGTACATGCAGTTTTCTGTAACCCTTATTAAAGTGACTCTCACTGCCATTCCTGCAGCAGTGGGAACTGAGGGCCAGATAAGAGCTCGCTTGAGGTTGCAGAAGTAAGAACGGCAGAGTTCCTATTTGGATATTAAGCTTCTGACTGAAAAAACTGCGTTCAGCCTGGCCCTGTTAGTGCTGAAGATTTGGAAACAATGAAGTTGGAACGGCTCTCTTTGCTGCTGGATATTTCGAGTTCTACAGTCAAAGCGTCTATTATTTGTGACCACGGGCTCTTTCCTGCAAGACTGCCAAGACCATAAACCTTAATCTCTCGTTTGGGAAAGTCAAAAACATACTGCCTCAACAGGAAGCAGATCCTGTATCTTCCAGCACAGGTGTGGAGCAGGGTGGAAGGAAAGATGTTCCAACTGTGAAATAAACAGATGAGGGATAGGGACGTAGCTGGGGTCCACAGAGACAGCAGGATGCGTGGCGAAGGGCTTTAGAAGGCTTGGTATTGAGATCTTAAAGCTGTGTGACCTGAAGCAGCTCACTTGACTTCTCTGAGCCTCAGTTTATATATGCACTTGTGAAATCAGGCTGTTGGACTATCAGCCTCACTGGATCGGGGCAGGTACTTCAAACAGAGGGAACTCAATAGTCTGCTTACTGCTGCTTTTTACTGCTTTATGGACAATGTGGGTTGAACGAAATAAAGCCTGGGATAATCAGGAGAGAACCCGGAATATAGTAAACATTCAGAAGTGCTGGCTGCGGTCGTTAATGGGATGAAAGCCACATGATGTGAAATCTAGTGGTTTCTTCAGCTGCTTTCACTGTAACCACCCCAGCAGGGATGACAACATCCTATAGAGACCTTTGTGCCCCTCCTTGGGCTATGAGACCATTGAGACAAGGGACCCCAAGAAATGGGAATTTCCCAAGAACCTCACAGTTGGGGGGAGAAAAAAGGCTGAATCCTGTGGCCAGCCAGAGGGGAACTTGTCTTTGGGATAGAGAGCTCACATAGTTCCCAGAAGTTGTAGCAACTTCAGTGCAGGACATATGGATCCCTGACAATGCTGGGTCAACTGTGGGTAGGATCATGCCTTCACCATAATTTCTTAGCTGTGCATATCTCCTGCCCTCTATTTAAACCTTAACCTCATGTCTGGTCTCTGAAAATGGGCTGGGGGAAGGGTTGTCATGGGAGATAGTTTATTTGTTCCTCTTCCCAATGTGGTCACAATCGACTACCTCCCATTTCTCTGCTTTTCACCGTGACTTGCCTGTTTAACTATCCTTTTGGGAATGGGTGGGGAAGTTCGCCGCTACAGCGGCTAGGGATCCAGCTCTGACCATGGCAACCCCAGAACACCATTGGTTTTCCTCTAAGCACTGGTAGGATAACTCCAAGGGTGGTGGAGAACACTGCTGTCTTATTCCAAACTCTCAGGTGACATAGCCTGCGTTCTTAGAGGACAACTGCCTGACTTAACTAAGACTCACTTGCTTATTGCTTATCAACCAGAGAGTTGAGGGGTAGAATGAAACACAAAGGGAAGTGCTCTGTAAGTATAAAAATATGCCTGTGCATGCATGCAGGACCAAATTGTTAACTCTAAATCAGCGGTTCTCAGTCTTCCTAATGCTGGGACCCTTTAATACAGTTCCTCATATTGTGGTGACTCTCTAACCATAAAATTATTTTTGTTGCTACTTCATAGCTATAATTTTGCTACTGCCGAAGTACAGAGGTCCACAGCCAGTGTTCATGACTGGTAAGTCAGGGCTCTGTGTGTGTGTGTGTGCACATGCAGGCACATGCAGGTTCCTGAGTGTACATGAGTGTGGAGACCAAAGGTCGATGTTATGTGTCTTCCTGAGTCACTCTCCCCCTTATTTTTTTGAGGCAGGATATCTCACTGAATCTGGAGCTCACTAATTTGGCTAGGCTGACTGTCCAGCAAGCTCCAGGAAGAGACTTGGATCTTCCTCCCCAGTGCTGGGACTGTTAGTTCACACCACCATGACCAGCTTTTTATGTAGGTTCTGGGGGCATGAAACTCAGAGCCTCATTTGTGCTCCGCAATCCATTACTAACTGATCATCTTTCCAGCTCTTAGTAGGTCTGAGGCCTGCTACATTTGAGCCTCAAGACTTTTAAAGAAGAAACACGGTCTTCATTTTCTTTCATTCCTCATCAGGGCTAACATCCATAGAATCCTGCAAAAGATGCTGTTGAATAAATGAATCCCCTCTGGAGGTCTCATTTTCCATCAAAATATCTTGGATGAAAATAGGGTTCCCTATCGCTTTTAAATGTAGTGTTCGAAGCAGAAAGGCTCTTGTCTCCTAACAGGATTGGAGATGGGCTATTAGCTTTAGGAAGACAACACACATTAAGGGGCCTGTGTGGCCGTTAACCATCCTTCATCAGCATGGCAAATCTGTTTTCAATTATCAAATCAGGACATAGTAATTTACGGCGTCCATGAAGCTGCTTTCCTGGTGAGAGGCTGGTTCAGCCAGCTTCTGCCTGTCTCTGTTTTCCTGTTGCTAGGGTGATGGCTGGCCTGAGGACAAGAAGAGGAGGGGCCATGAGGTCCTTTCTCTGAGGCTGAGGAGACAGGGAACCATCTGGGATAGGATGCCACAATGTGACAATGTGCAGACTTCAACTGCTCTCAGGGACAGTTGAGATGTTTGGGGAGGGCCCCCCACATCAACAGGATTGGGGACATCTCTATGGTGACATCTACAAAGCTATGAACTGTATATGTGATACCTCCTAGGGTCTGAAATCAAGGCTGATTCCAAACAAAAGGAAATTCATATTTAATTGAGCAAAACTAACCCAAGAGAAAACAAGGAAACCAAGAGGAAGAATAAAATCTCTTTGAAGGGCTTCCCCAACTTACATATCTAAGTTGAACTAAAAATAAACCTTTTTCTATCCAGTCATGGGAGCCCAAAGGAGATCTCTTAGATTTCCCCCCAGTATGTGGTCAGAGCTCATGACTAACATTTTCATTATGCTCTCAAAGTATATAGGTAGCAATGCTGTGACTTGATTGAGCACTTTCATTAACCCCAAATACAATAAAACAGCATTACTTGGTCTTTGCAGATGATGAGAAAGCCTACAAAGACTATGCTGGGCACTGGAAATAGTTGCTTATTGTTTCTGAACAACAACAATGAAGAGTATAATTCTTCCCAGACATCTCAGAATCTGAGACTTTTGGGAGGCTGTAAGGCGATTTAGAGATACAGCAAAGGCAACCAAGTTCAGCCAGAAAACTCTAGCTTCCATGAGGCAACCACAAAGGCTGTTTATAAAAAGCTTAATGTCTGTAGCAGACACTTTGGAAAAAAACAAAGAATCTTTAAAGTATCCTGGAAGAATGTAGACTTAGATATTTTTTGGAGTACCCTGGATTAAGTTCACATCTCCTGCTGCTAAAGTTACTATGGTCCTGCATTTCACCTTGGGTGGCATGGCATTCTGGTAGGAGACTGGTTATAAATTTATATATATATATATATATATATATATATATATATATATATATATATATATATATTACTTAAGTAACTTTTGAAATACTAAGCTTCATGGATGCGAGCAGCCTGTTTGTCTGTTCTGTGGTGCTGAACTAATTTTCTTGCCTAGGAAAGTTAATCATTGTTTCATAGACCCCACTGTGATAAAGATTTTCCTCGGGCAATGCCCTGAATCTCTTCAATAGAAACGTTGAGAAATCACAAGATAACATCCTTACAGAGAAACAAACAAACCCAGGACCCATGCCAACTTTGGGCCCAGTCTAGAAAATTCCATAAGCTTTCAATGGTCAAAGAAGATGACCAATTCTTGATTTATGATACATTTTGTGAATGCTTGTTTAATGAACCAGTGGCTGAAAATACACTTTATATGACTTCCTGGTGATGTATTTCATAACTTTTTCAGATAGTCACCATAGGGTTTGACCATGAAAAATTAAAAACAGTAAGATCCAACCACTGTTTAAAAGGAGGGGTTCTGATGTTTTATTTCTCTGAAGAAAGGGACTGAGAAAGGCTTATACTAAGACAAGCACTGGACTCCCTGGGATCTCATTAAAGAACAAGCTCTGATGCAGGACATCTGGTGTCAGGCTGGAAACCATGCATGGCCCCAGGGTGCCAGGGCTTCAGGCTATAGTCAGAGCATCACAGATCTAAAGCCTGGGTTCCACAATACCCCTCAAGGCAGAAAGCTGAAGGGGCTCCCTCTTACCTTCTCCTACTGTTGACAGCAATGCAAACAGCAAGAATCAGAGCCAGCGCCAGGAGAGATGCCAAGACGATGAGCCATTCTGGTGAGAGTGAGCCAAAGAACACACGTGAGCTTTACAATACTTTAGGGAATAAGAAACGCGATTTAAAATTGATCTGCTCCAAATAAAAACCCCAGTCAACTCTGCAGAGAGACCTGACCAATAGGTACAGCTAGAATATTCTACCACAAACTTGGCTGCAGTTGTTCCATTCAACAGGCTTCTCGTATTAATCTTTTATCAACAGTTAGTCAAGTCCTGCTGAGGAAAGCTCTTTCCAAAAGCATATCAAACATGCTGCTGAAGCCTGTATGTGTTTTTGTGAAATGCTAGGTAGGTTAAAGGAAATTTACATTTTTATTAACAGAATCATTCCATGCCTATGTAAGAGCATCTGCCTTATATTTCACTCAAAACAAAGATGGGGTTCATAACCAGTGGGCAAAGGACGTTCTTATGATGAGTGTTAAGGTAGATTTCTGCCGTTCATTTCAGTTATTTGGCTACTCTTGACAACAGACCCTACTCATGCTTTTTGATTTAGAAGTTACACTTCCTAAAAGTTATAGGATCTCAAAGTTGGCTGTAAAGATGTCCATCTTTATACCATATCTAACCACGGAAGTTGAAACTGACCTAATGTCCAATGGTGAGGGATTAAATAAATTAATCAGGATATATCCACTTTTGTTAAGTGCTATAATTCAAGGGAAAGATGTTTAATGACATGGAGAGTGGAACTCATCAACAGAGGATGTGAACTAAACTGCACATACAGCAGTTTTGAAATAAATTACTTGGAAAGATATTAGGAAGAACATCTTTCAGACTTCAATACTTTTGGGTACCGAGATAGACAGTAAGTGATCTGCGTTTCCATCCATTTGCTAAGTCGTATTTTCTAAAATGTATTTGATAATTATGCTGCACTTGCGGATTAATGCAATGCTATGCATATGCTTTAAACCCAGGCTTCAAAAAGATTGACAAGTTGAATCAATTTAGTTGCAGATGTATGCAGTAAATGAAGGCTTGACAAAGAAGAAAGACAGAAAGCTGTCAGTCATTGTCCACTTGTTGGAAGGCTTGCTTTCCCCCTGCCTGTCAGACTGGGCATCCTCTTTGGCTCACCTCAAGAAGACAGGGACACTGTTGGGATGATGCCATGTCTGCTCCGTCCTGTTCTCCCCACTTCTGCCTGACCCCCAGCACTGAGTGTTATGTGCTCCTTTTCACTGCTCTGGGACGAACCCCCCTTCTGATCCTCCCTGGAGGTGTCCTGCCTTCTTGGGTGGCCATCATGCTGAAGCAAAGGAGCAAGGCCCACAGGGAAGCTGCTTTGCTCCCACCCCCCCGCAAGAAAGCATTGACAGGGTGATTTACAACATTCAGAGAGACTTCCTTTGTGGAATCCCCCCTTTGCACATGATCAGTTTCACCCCCAAGCTAAAAGAAGAAATTGTATCAAATGCTAAATCTTGCGGCATGGGACAACCAGATGTCAAAGTTCCCTCCCTGTACATGTGATACTTTCTAAAACATTTCTTCTGGCTGAATGAGCAGACTGTTCCTCAAGGAAAAGTAGTTTGGGGAGCAGAAGAATGTTTTCACTCCACCCAACACAGATGGCCCCTTATCTCCTCCCTGCCCTTTCAGCCAATGCAAAGAGAATCACAAATTTCATCTCCAGCCCTGGAAATATAGGGGGAACTGGGTTAAGATAGGAAGGACCTGGGTGTGCCATGGGGGTAATCTGGGGGATGGTTCATATGAGTAAGTGGCATACCAGTTCTTTGAGGAAGGCCTCAATGTGAATTAATCCAGGACATGAGGGGCCTAGGGGCGAGAAAGAGAGGGCCCCTCCTTTTCTATGAAGAGGCTATCATATTTTTGTTTATCCTTAAGCTTGCAAAGAGGTGCCTGATGTGCATTTGATGAGGCCTCTTCCAGGATATCCTGAGAATCTTGCTGTAATTATCTCACATTTGCTTCACCGTATGAAACTCACCTGGAATCTGAGGTTTCCTCCCAGGACGAGAAGTTGTGTTTGCCCCACTGTCTTGATTCCCACTTGAGTGTCCTAAGGGGAGAAGCAACAAGCTCTTTCAGTCCAGGTTTGAAATGTATAGCCAGGAGTTCCTTCCAGAGAGTTGTCCTGGGCTACCCTCCAACCACTGCCTCACTAGACGCTATAAACAGATTCAAGATGCAGACATCTACAAAGTGTTAGACAAAAGATATCATCTCTCTCCTCACCTCCCAGGGAAGTTCAGTGTGACTAAGCTAAGGCTTACAAATGTTACTTTTGCTGCAAGGAACTGTGATGGGCAGTGTTTGAAATTGAGCCCCAATGCTGGTCCACCCCGGGTTTAGAACCTAACTTATTAATAACTTTTGCTGAGCCACGTTATCTCTGTTTCCTCACATATAAAGTGAGGATCATAACAGAAACACCTTCATTGTTGTCTTACAGAGGGTTCCAGAAGTATATGATAGTAGTAGCTGTGTATAGTTATAATGTTATGTGTTTAAGACCTTGCCTATAAACTGTGGTCCTGTAGACCAGCAGGACCCTATCACTAGGGAGCTGGCTACCAATAGGATATCTCAAGTTTAGTTCCAATCCTCCAGACACAACATCTTCATTTTAATAATATCTCTAATGCATTCATGTGCTTCAGAAAGTCCAAAGTGAATCTAAAAATCACATGCTTTGTGCTGATTAGTTTTTTGTCAACTTGATACTAGAAAGCCTGGTTCATCTGTGACGAAGGAACTTCAGTTGAGAAAATGCTTCTACCACATTAGCCTGTAGGCAAATCTATGAGGCAGCTTTCTTTATTAATGATTGTTATGGTAGGGACCAGCTCACCAGGCCAGTGCCACTATGGACAAGTGGTCCTGGGTGGTATGAGAATTCAAGTTGAGCAATCCAAGGAGAGCAAGCCATAAGTAGCATTCCTCCTCCAGGTTTCTGCCTCCAGGTTCCTGCCCTGACTTTCTTAAGGGGACCGTGACTCAGGATATGAAAGCCAAATGAATGTTCCTCCCCAAGGAAAGCTGTGGTTATGGTCTTTATCACAGCAATAGAAAACAAACCAGGACACATATAAGCACTGATAAGACCACTATTTTTTTTTTTTTTTGCAGGAAGGTGGAGCACTGGCTTTTTCTGTCTACAAATAAAAGGTTATTAGAGTCTATGCTAACACAGTGAAACATAATAGAAAAATAAATGCTTTCTATTGTTAAAAAACAAAACAAGGAAATGAACAAAAAGCCCAACTTGGATGGGAGCATTGTGAGACAGACAGTCTATGAGTCAAAACCCAGATGCCTTTTCAAACCAAGGAAGACACTATGTTTCAAAAGAAATTTCTTGGTTTTCTGTTTTGTTTTTTTCCTTTACTGTTTTTTATTTTAAATAGCAATCTTTTCTGGAATCTTGAATGCCACCTAGGCAAGACTTTTTGGCTAGTTCATTGACTAGGATGAGTGGGCTTAAAAGAAAGTATTTTCTGAGAGAGCCAAACATTAGACTCTGCAGAGTGGATGCTGAAATCTAACTACATAGGATGGCTTCAGTTTGGACGGTTTGGTGCTGTGCTAACGCTCCGACAAAACGGAGCAAAGTAACTTCTGTGCTGTTTCCACAGCCCTGCACTGCTCTGAGAATAGCCTCTGCTTCACAGATCTCAAAGGAGTTCGTGGCAATTTTTCTACCCACCTGCCAGTGTCCTGGGCAATTGGCAGGTTTGTGCATGCACAAGTCATGGCATAGCAACTGTCTAAACTGGAGAGCTTTGGCCTTGAAAACCACTGTAAAGGTATAGTCACTCCCACTGGTCTCTTTTGTCTGACGCACAGCAGCCTTTGATATTTGAAAGGGAGGCCATTAATAGATCATAATCTATTTATTTTCCTTTTCCAAAGAAGTGCTCCCAGCAAGGAAAGAATTAGGTGTGTGCACAAGATGAAACCTCTTGGTTGAACAATAGACACCTGCACAGGAGCCAAAGGAAAAAAGACTAGTTCCCACCCACCTGATTCTCACTTCAAGCAAAAGCCCAAGAGGCCAGAGACAGAAGGCTTCCTTGTGCCCAAGAACTCCATAAATCCAACCAGGGTAGAACAGGCCTGGAGAACAAGTTTTACAAAGAAGGACACTGGGCACACCAGTTTGGAGATGGGGCCCAACCACAGACATGGGCACAGACCATTCAGTTGTGTAGAGTGGAGCATACTAACCAGCTGAAGGGGAGGGGCTTAAATAAACCGAGACGCCAATCCGGTTTATTTAGGCCCTTCCCACAAGCTTCTGTGTGCAGTCTCCGCAACTGGTTCACAGAGCACATGCATAGTAGTAGAGGTCTCTTGGTTTTGGAAGCTGTGTCTTCAAATTTAACCGCTCACACCCTCAATACCTTGTGCTCCACAGGGAACCTAGATTACTGAGGTAGGTGGCATGGTCTTTCTTCCTACTGACAAGGAAATAAGAGCTAGGGAAGACCACGTGTGCTAAGGACCCCAGTGAGCTCAGAACATCTGTGTCTACTTCAGGGTAGTTTCTAATGAGCCCTGCATCCCAGAGTTCCTACATTTAAGGGATGTTACCAATGCCAGTTTGTAATCCATCCTCAGATTTTCTTGAACCCTGGAGGCAGTCCTTGTTCAACATTCAAGCCCACAACAGAGGATGCTAATTTATATGGATTTCTTGGCCCCTAGGACCACATAGATTTGTGATGATCAGGAGCTCGTGGTAGGAAGTGCTGAGAGAACCTCTCTGTAACCCCAGCATTAGGCATTAAAAGTAAGCTTGCCTCATGTCAGATTTCGCTGCCTGGAGTAATGTTTTCAGGGGTTGATATGAGTCATGGCCAACAGCAATCTATTTAATAATGCATGTCTGGCCGTAATTATGGTCATTATAGAATTTTCTTCCAGACCAGACTTAGGAGAGGCAATCTGAGACCCCAGGCCTGAAGCCTGGCTCCACCACTCTCTGGTCATATCAACTCGGCAAGTTGCTTACCTTCTCTCACCTTTCCTTATTCTCCTCATCTGTAATAAGGAGATGATAATAGTGTTTTCATATATTATAGGGTTGGCAAGGTAATTAGATGAGTTAATAGAAAATGAACTATGAACTCCCTGGCACTGGATTTACTTACCGGATAGAAATATCAGTTTCATGTAGTTCAAAGTACAAATGAAATGTTTTGCTTAATCTTTCTGGAATACAGTAAATTCTGAAGTGCTGGCTACTTCACCAGGTTCCAGGATTATGCTAAACACTTTCCAGGTATTCGTTGCCATTTGGTCTTAAAAGGGCACCCTCTAACAATATCTCAAGATTATCATCTAAGACATTGAATCTCAGACCCTGTGATCATTTGCTCAGCTTATAGGTAGAAGAACGAGGATCAAACACAAGCTATGTTATGTCAAAAAGTTCTCTTAGTTACTCTGTAATGGAGACAATGTTAGATGGTGGCTGTCCTACTTAGGGTTACTATTGATGAAACACCATAACCCAAACCAAGTTGGGGATGAAAGGGTTTACTCGACTTACATATCACAGTCCAGGAACTCAAACCTGCCTGGAGGCAGGAACTAATGCAGAGGCCATGGAGCAAAGTGCTGCTTACTGACTTGTTCTTTGTTGCTTTCTCAGTATGCTTTCTTTTTTTTCCCCTTTTTTGATTTAAGTTAGAAACAAACTTGTTTCACATGTCAATCCCAGCTCCCTCTTGCTCCCCTCCTCCCTTGCCCTCCCCACCAGGCCCCCCAGTACCCCACCCAATCTCCACTCTGATCCCCAGGGATGGTGGATCTCCAGAGTCTGTCATCTCATCCAGGGCAGGGTCTAGTCCCTCCCACAAGAGTCCAGGCTGAGAGAGCATCCCTCATTGTAGGATGGGCACTCAAAGTCTATTTGTACGCCAAGGATAAAGACTACCCCCCCCAAAAAAAGCCGGGCGTTGGTGGCGCACGCCTTTAATCCCAGCACTTGGGAGGCAGAGGCAGGCAGATCTCTGTGAGTTCGAGGCCAGCCTGGTCTACAGAGCGAGTTCCAGGACAGCCTCCAAAGCCACAGAGAAACCCTGTCTCGAAAAACCAAAAAAAAAAAAAAAAAAAAAAAAAAAAGACTACCCAAGGCCCCATAGATTACCTAGGCCACATTCAGGGGGTCTGGGTCAGCCCCATGTTTTCTACACAGCCATCAATCTGGGGTCCAGTATGCTTTCTTATAGAGGCCAGGACCACCAATCCAGCGATGTCCCAGCCACAATGTGACAGCCCCCCCACATCAATCACTAAGAAAATGCTCCATAGGCTTGTTTACAGCCAGATCTTACTGAGGCATCTTCTCAACTGAGGCTGCCTCCTCTCTAATGACTTTAGCTTGTGTCAAGCTGACATAGCACTAGTCAGCACAGACGTACTGTGTGAATTCTTCCAGACCCTTTCAGATGGAAGCTCCTTTTCTATAGTGTTGGTTCTCAAAGTGTGGTACTCATTGCAGCAGTATCACAGTGAATGGGAATTTATTAGGCTCCACCCTAGACCTGCTGAATCAGAAACGTCAGGGTGGGGTCTAGCAAAGTAACTTAATAAGCCCTCCCTGTGACTGAAAATACATGTGGTGTCTTCTTTTAAGTGTGAAACAATTCTCTAGAGACACTGACTCAGGATTCATTAGCAACCATCAGGTTCAGTGATCATAATAGTAAGTGACTAAACATTTCTAACTCACCAGTTAATTTGGATCCATCAGTCACAGTGAGGGAATTCCCCCTGGGATCCATGGATGAGTCTTGGTCTCCTAGAGTAATAGGCAATAAAAAATAGTCAGCATTGTGTGTCCACTCACATTGTCATCTTTATTTCCACCGGGTGTGTGTTCAGAAAAACATCATCTGCTAACAACGAACAAGTCACTGCTCATCTTTAAGACATTGATGAGTGAACTAGAGTTTTAATCAAAATTAAGGAAACAGAGGCAGTACAGGTCATCCTGGATGATCACTAAAAGTATGTTGAGAGTAGAAATCCAAGAGCAGAGCTAAGGAATATTCTGGAGGAAGATACTATGATGCTTTCTTGGGGTTGGGTTTTGAATGGGACACTTCTTAGCTTGGAAAAGAGCTGTGATACAGGAATATAATCACTTAACTAAGACTCTGGCTCAGACAGTGAAAGAGGTTTCTCTGAGTCTGAAACAAAAGAATCTTAGGGATGAATGAGGCAAAGACTCAAAGGGAAAAATAAACTATGCAGAGAGGAGGAAAGTCAAACTTAAGTGAAAAAAGAAACAGTGAAATAACATGAATGATAATAGAGCTGGGTATCAGAATAAATCTCAACTGACATTTTTTTTTCAGATTTATGCCTGCATTTTCAACAATCCTTGATATGATCCCATCTTCTCAAATATCCATCATCAGAAAACTTTAGGTTTTGACAAACTCAAGAGGGGTTAAATTTAAATCCTAAGATGAAATCTTAGATTCAGCATATAGGAAACATAAACAGAGATCAAGAACTCCGAATGTTGGTATAGACCATTACAACAGAGCCTAGAAAGAGAATACAGTGAACCGCTCATCACCATTCCCTGGTTAGGAGGGGGCTGCTTGGAATTGCTCCTAACTTTATGAGAGACTGCTTTTTTCCTTGGATAATGGTTATAATAACTGACAACAGCACTTGCGGAAACACCACATGAGAGTCCCACCACCAAAATCACCATTTCCAAAGCCATCACCATCGCTAGGCCCATCAGCACCACTGCCATTGCATGCATGGTTCAGTGCTTTGCATTAAGCGTGTAGATTGAGAAATGTACGGAGAGAAATATCCTTTGTGAATCTTCTGGAAGGAAACAAGGAATGAGAATCAGGCCATTTATTCTAATCACTGAATTCACAGAGAACTGGAGGAAATACAGATATTACTACCTTTCTTACATTGATCAAATGGGATCAGCACATGTGTGTACTAATTTAGTAGAAAGCATTTTACTTGCTAGCAATTAGATAGACTCTGCAAGCCACTCAAGAAACTGTAACTAAGACTGCCATTTCAAATTTAAATCCACCAAGTGGCATGATGGATGGGACCATTTCTGCATGAGAACATTGCTGGCACTCCTAGATTTGATTCGTTCTGCAGGAATCTAACAGCAGCACTTGGAAGTTTTAATGAAGAAAAGATGGTTATTAATAAGAGCACTAAGCAAAAGCCTTCAGCGTGTAAGGAGGCTTGGGCTTGCCAATACTGCCGAAATTGGTATTTTTAAAGCTCCTTTTCTTGAAGCCCTGGAGTGGAAAGCCAAAGGAAATATGCTATGCATATGACATCCTGGGTTTTCTTTCCCTCTGTCAATCAGAACTTCACCACTACCATCTGTTTTGCATATGTGATTCTCATGAGATCATTTTCTTATCTTTTGCGAGAGTGGAGGAGGCCTGGTCTTTCTACAAATGTGCGTGCATATGTATGTGCATGTGCATGTGTTTGTGTGTATTAATCTTTAATGTGTTAGTGGTTGAATGGTAGAGGTACCTGGACTATAAGCACTAGCAGGAGTGGGCATCTAGTTTCTTAGCAATAGAAAGCACTTTCCCCTTTCTACAGTGTTAGTTTCTTAATACACACAAACAAATAAAGGAGAGATACAGAGAGGATTGCTTATTTGAGAAGTCTCATTGAGTCCATAACAGACTTAGTTGAGTAAGTCATATGTTTACAATTACAATAAAAGTGAGGATCCCAGTTTATTAATAGTGAATAACTTTGAAGCACACTATAAGTAGAAAAGGTTCATATACCAACCCATCACCAAAAATGAAATGAACCACTCCATCACCAATTAAAGACAGTTTCAGAGGAAAGATACCAGTATAAGAAAATCATGAATGTTTGGTAAAGCTTTACTAAATAGGCAAAATATATTAGCTGAATCAAGTGAAATTTCTAATATTCAACTATTTCAGTCCTCAAAAATATCAGTTTCACATGGTTCAAGTTAATATATCACAGACTGGAGAAAAGACAAAGCAAGAAAGCCTACCATGAGAACCAAGTCACAAAAAAATATATGGAGATTACACCAGGAAATTGAAGCATTATTTTATTTCAGATAAGTCCAAGTTTGCTGGCATTAGAATTGATGACCAATGATGAAAACCATTCCCATGGCATAAGGTAACCTAATTACAGTCTTCACAGAAAATATCCCCAATAGGAAAAATATATATTGTTTCTCCAGAGAAGCAAACCAGATGACAAATGGCCAAATTACCTGGTAAGGAGCCATCAACATTAAAGTTGGAGTCTTCAGCAACAGTCACTTCAGTTTCTCCAAAGACCCCAGTCTTTGCAGGAGTCACTGGGGTGAGAGTCCCATTTTCCATTGTTTCTGGGTAATGAGTGGTGTAGCCTTCCAGAGAAGTAGTTGCGTCTTTGGGGAGGCCTCCACCTCTTCTTCCGTCTTTACCACCACTCCTAGCTGCGTGGAGGTGGAGTCAATGACAAGCCCACACCTGTATGGTTACCACCCACCATGTGCTTGTCTTCAGAAGGTAAAGTTGCTGAGACATCTTTCTACTGTTTTCCAAGACCAAAAGCAAATGGTGCTGAATAAAAACAATGTTTTACAAAAGATACCATCCGGATAGCACTCAACAGAAGAGATTTTGGTGACTACTACCCACAAGAGGCATTTCTTATAAGATTTGTCTGAGTCATCAAGGGGGAGGTTAATCCCATTGTGACCTTGAACTCAACTCAGGTATTACAGGATTTTGAGTTTTTTTTCTCAGTTGGATCCATCTCTGAAGAAGAGGAAGAAACAAACCATTGGATTTCCATCTGTCTACAAACTGGAATAATAAATTCAAGATCCAAAAGACCTGAGTCTACTGACTTAATCTTTTCTGTGCCAGAAGGGCATTGCGTCTTAGTCACCAATACTGTGGAGTTGTGGTCCAGAAGACAAAATGGAAATATTATTAATGTAATGAATTTAATAAAATCTTATAGAAACAATCATCATTTTCTAAACCAATTCAGCAGAAAAGTTTTACCTAATGTACAATGGCTTCTAAAAGGTCTATAAAGCAGGGGAGTTGGAGACCACCACCAGACACACCTTATGATTAAAATTAATGTATAAAAATAAGCAGCAGATATACCACCACCAAAGATACCAGAACTTTTTGATTTCTGTTAAATAGACAAAGCCATTTGGGCTTTATGATCCTTACTGCTAGATGGCAGAACAGAAGTTGTTGGGTGGTTTTTGTCTTCTTCCAGTTCTTCATGTGATGTAAAGTTCTGAGAATGACTCTGTGCTGTTTCAATGAGGGATGAAGTTAGTGTTAATTAGGAACCACGAAGTCCTTTGTTGCCCCCTTACATGGATGATCTAGTTAGCAGATGGACAGATACAAAGGGAGAATGATATTTGTGCCTTTTATCATCGACTGAGTTGATAGAAATACACAGAAAATTTTTGCTTTGTCCCTAGTTAGCTTCTTTTTCTGTCAGTGCAGTTCCAAAGAGAAGCCCAAGCCAAAACTTTGTCCTCCCTGGACTGACCCAACTGCACCAAGAAACCCCAGGAAACAAAAATCACAGAGATATGGAAAGTGCAGCTTTAATTTGTTTTTCCTCAACCATTAAGATATTCAAATTGTGAGCAAAGAGGTTATAAGGAAAATAGTGCTATGTAGTTTGTGAACACAAAAGGAAAAAGCTCATTTCCATCAATTAACCCAGAGCAATCTTACAGAGAAATACATGACTCCCTTGTAGGGAGCATTGCATTTTAGTTACTACTTTGTTAGTAGGCTATGGTCTTGCCTATAATATGGTTTCTCTTCAATGCACCAAGGAAATGCTTGCCTGGGCAAACACAGGGCTCTCAGTGACTTATATCAATTTGAGATTGAATCGTTGCCCATATCTGAAATTACTTTGACTATTTTAAGTTCTTTCCTTTTGTGTTCTTCCAAGAAAGGCACTGACTGACCTCTGAGGTTCAGGTGCAAAGGCTGCATAAAACACTCCCATGAGCCATGTCCACCACCAAATAAATATAGCCAGGAGAGAGACATTCACTAAATAACAAAAGCAAGATCACAACAAAAGCCAAGAGTAAACAAAATGTAAATACAAGTCCAGCATTGGTGAGAGCCATATATAGGCTTATTTATATTTCCTTTGATGCCTAACACTGTTGTTTACATTAATGATGGTCAATATATGCCTGCTGGCTTTTTTATTATGCCTAAAGGGCTCCTCTAAAGGACTCTGCCCATTATGTGTAGCAAGAAGTAAAATGAGTCCTTCTTAATTTGGGGATTTCTTTGATAATCTGCCAAGAATTTATGAATGACTTTGGGGTTGATTCTTGGGCTATTATTATACACATGGTGAAAATTAAGGGCACTAAAAATTTCATATTTCTTCTTGGCAGATTTTTTAAGGATAGAAAACTATGTTAGCAAAGGGTTCTTTTTGATTCCAGGAACTCCATCACCTTGGTCAGTTATTAACAAAAGCCTTGCTCCTCCTCTCAAATCTAAATGCAATTTCTCTATCCACAATGATAATCTGGCCTTCATATTACACAACCATGAAAGCAATCTTTCACCTTCCTTGCATGGTAAAAGGGTGGGAATGAAAAATAATCTATTAAAACATAGAGAAAGCAATCTACTAGTGATGGTCTTCAATATCATTCATATGAAGAGTTACAGAAGAAACATGGAGATGAATTAAGCCTCCATATCCTTTTGTTAGTAAAAAGTCATTGGAGACCCTGAATGAAGATGAAGTCAGGTTTAAAGAATCCCCACAAGAAAGACGGACAATGAAAATAGATTCACCCTCTGCCTGAGCTGAGCCACCTAACAAAGACTGCACCATTCCACCACCAAATGAGACATCTTGACCAATGTGAGCAGAAGTAGGAAGACAGGTCAAGAAAGGAGCTGTGTGTCATTATCCTTACGAGTTGTCACTGAAAGTGGTCCTGTCCTGTCCAAGTCTTCCACCAAATGGGTATTTTGAGCTGCAGTAGGCTGAAGGGTTGTACTATGACTGGACTCTGTATCTGAAGAAAGTAAATCTGTATTACTGCCTTATTCCCTATGCCATTGCCCGAGGGCCATTGTCATACAGCCAAGTAATTTTTATATTCAGCCTGATAAGAGGAAAGAAACAGGTTCACATGTCCAGACTGTGATAAATGATTGTTTCTTTAAGAATACCACAGGATATTCCTGGTTTTCATTCAGGACAGAGTCAGGTTAAAGCTATCACATATTTGCTTGCTTGTTTTGCCTAGTCTGGAAGGAAGTTGCATGAGCATGCGACGGGGCTCACAGTCTTTGCAAAGGGACAGAAATGTAGCCCATGTGTGATTTGCTTAAATCCAAGGCAGACAAGTACAGTCAGACACATGGAGACAAATAACACACACAAACACCATTTTGTCACTTCCTGCTCACCAGGCCAAACAAAACAAAACAGCACCAACGAAAAGTTTTTAAAGGATTCCCTTATTTGGTTATTTTTGTTTGTTTGTTTGTTTGTTTGTTTTTGCTTCACAACTTAAACACAGAAAAAAAATACACATTACCCAATATAACTAACTACGTTGAGACAACAGGAAGTACCCATAGACAAACAAGAATCATTCTTTCCCTAAACACAAAAAAGAAATATCTTGGCCGGGCGTTGGTGGCACATGCCTTTAATCCCAGCGCTCGGGAGGCAGAGGCAGGTGGATCTCTGTGAGTTCGAGGCCAGCCTGGTCTACAAAGTGAGTTCCAGGACAGCCTCTAAAGCCACAGAGAAACCCTGTCTCAAAAAACCAAAAAAAAAAAAAAAAAAAAAAAGAAAGAAATATCTTGGGATTTCTGATTATAGTATTGAGTGGTGTGAAACATCCATGAAGTAATTAAAAAGACTGCTTTTTCTGATGGTTATCACAGGGCTATTATGGGCTGGAATAACAAGTTCAGAGTGAAATAGAGGCCAAACAGTCCATAAACACCATCAATATTGCTAACTCTACAATTTTCTCCGTCTACCCACACCACTGCCTCTGGGGAGATCTAATCAGTTCCAAATGGCTCCAGTGGGAAGCACTGGGATACAGGACACCCACCTTGGGACTCCAGCCTTTACATGCTAAAAGCAAAGACAGACAAGATCTCTGTCAGAGAAAAATGTGTGTCTCACTCTACCATCAGGATTTCAAAGAACAAAGGTCAGTTACCCATCCAAACTTTCAAATGGATACCCTACCAGAAAACAGCCTTGTCTTCTGAGTGTCTGCGTCTACCCTTGTTCATTTTTTTCTTTGATGAGTAAAATTCTTTGAGAACTATCTTGTCATCGTATGATTGAAGCCGTCATGTGTGTGTGTGAGGAAACTCAGTAAAGAAACTGCAGACACGACCACTTCAAGATATGATTAAGGTTTGTATTGTAGATATGAGAGAGAGAGAGAGACAGAGAGACAGAGAGAGAGACAGAGAGAGAGACAGAGAGAGAGAGAGAGAGAGAGAGAGAAAGAAAGAAAGAGAAAGAGAAAGAGAAAGAGAAAGAGAAAGAGAAAGAGAAAGAGAAAGAGAAAGAGAAAGAGAAAGAGAAAGAGAGAGAGAGAACAGCCAGAGGCATCTGGAGCAGTCCATAGCAAAGAAAGGAAAAAGTGGACTAAGCATGACCAGCAGATTGGACATAACCAGGGCCAGGAAAGAGTGGGAGAGAATAGTAGAGACAGCAAGATAGCAAGAGATAGAGAATAGAGCACAGTGAGAGAGTAAAAACGTAAGGTATATAAGGAGGATGAGTAGCTGTGGGGAGGGGAGAGCCAGGAGACTGGCACAGGGGACTTTGAAATGTTGTAACAAGTACTCGTGAATTGTGATTGAGGTTATCTTGGAGGCCAACATGGGTTTTGATATGCAACTGCAGGCATATGTCAATGGAGAGCCATTATGTCCTTTCTGCCAGAGCAAAGGGAAATGATTCCTTTTGACAGATGGGAACTGGTTTCACAAGTTCCTGATGAATTCCGGCCTTTATCTAACCACCAGAAATTCTCCTATAGTCTAGCTTGAGCTCCTTTCTGGGTATTTGGACTGCCTATGAGATCTAACACCTTTTTCTTGATTATTTACCTATGAAATGTAATCTTTCTCTCTTCTTCAGGTTGGACACCTAATAATGATTCTGGAGTTCCTTTACTGAGTTTGTTTATTTATTCATTTATTGTCATTTATCTTTTTTTACCATAGGTCTCTTCAGAACCCCACCCACACGAGCTAAGCACATAAATCTGTGTGGTGGGTCTTGCCTGTGGCACATCAGCAACTCAACAAAATGGTCCCAGAATAGCCATTTAAACACTTCCCCTCTTTTAGGACATATCTATCCACTCACAGTGATGTACTCTTTCCTTGGCTTTTCTTCCTTTATGGATTTGTTCACATGAGTCTCCTTTTCAAAACATCCTCCATCTTACTTCCATTATCCATTACTGATTCATGTTGTCAGATCTATTGTGCTATTAAATATTTTCTTTTGTCTGCTGATTTTTAAGTTTCTTTCAAGCACGAATATGAATTATATATACATTCTTGTATCTCCATGATGGCTTATGCATCTAATGCATATCTCACATACATGGCTGTTTATGGGATGTGTATTCAATAATATTAGTGTTTCTTAAAAAAAGAAGTTTTTGGATTTACTTTAGAGGTAATTTTGTAGTTATCCAATATGGAGATATATTCACCGAGCTATTAGGATGTATTTCAGTCAGATATGTGTAGAGCATATGGCTGGCTATTTACATCTAGAAGATACATCTAAATGAAACTTCTCTGAAAAAATTTACAAAACCCCATATTTGGTTGTTTTGGAATGTTACATTTTTGTGATATGGATATTTTGTTTTAAAAAAAGTAATTCTGCTCATGAGTATAGTAGAAACACAGTCTTCTATTTGTTGAATCCTAAGAGGACAATGGCCACCAATTCTTGATGTTTCTTTCAAGCAGGTGGCTGCTGTTACTTTTAACAGGAAAGTTGCTTTTAAATATGAAAATTAGTCAAATAATTCACAACCTTCCTTTCTTGCAAAACTATAATACATTTTGATTTCTCTTTTTAAATTGCTTGTGTGTAAATAAGAATGAAAGGCATTAAGAAAATAGGAATTTTTGTCTCATGTACAAGTTGTCTATTCATTAAGTTCATAGCCATTCAAGGAGGGCCCAGAATGATCTAAATCTTAAATCCTTCAATACTACACTATCTCTAAATGAGGCAACAATAAATAACTTTACAGTTTTCTGAGTCATTACATTGTTTATTTACATTAGCTACTCACCTTTTCTTTTCACCAGTTAGATTTGTCTACCAAAACCAAAATTTATCTTTGAATTTATAGTAGACATAGTCACTGAATCCATTACTTATTGTTTCTTTTGAGATCTTTGTACTTAAAAAGGAACAGAATCTTAAGAATATCCCTTCCTTAGCCAGGCATGATAGTACATGCAATCCCAGCACCCAGGAGACCGAGGCGGGAGCATCATCAAGAATTGATGACCAGCTTGGGATATGTAGTAAGACCATCTTAAAGTAAGAAACAACCCACCTGTCTCCTAGGTTTAAATAACTTCCACTCTTATCAGCGTAAGACTGATAAGTGCCTAGTCTTCCTGGCAAATTCTTCACTCTCTGACTAGAACTATGTACATAGATGATGTGCATATCTACTCCTTACCGATTTGTATCAGCAAACTAATTTTTGAGTACACCAGGATGCTTAGGAAAGTAGATTGAACTAAAATCAACAGTACATTTCAAAGGGAAAAGACACGTAGTTGATTCTAAGAAACATGATACATTAAAAAAAGTCTCAAATGCTGTTTACCCTTCCTTTCTGTTTGATGATCTTGTCCCATTGGATGTGAAACTGGGTCGAGGAACTCAGTCCAGGAGACGCTCTCTTGACTCTGGGTTGTCATTCTTTGACTTGGATGGTTGCTGTGGGCTGATGCTGTTGTCACCATGCAGTTCAAACAATCGTCAAAATGTTAATTGACATTGGGCAGGGATATATAGACTGACTTTAAAAAAAGACTTTATTCTCCAGAGAAGAAAATGAAAATAACTTTCTAGTGCTGAGGACAAAGGGGCTACATTGGTTTAGACTTTTCCCAGATTTGGTTTCATTTGTGCTCAATTTCTTGTTCGCCAGCATGTAAGTTGGAGGAAGCATAGCATTAACAAGTGCTGTAATGGACAGAGGATGAGTTACAGGCATCAAGGGAGGATGAAGTAATTGTCAACACATGCCACCACAGTCCCCTAAAGAAAGCAATATAAGTGCATGATGTCACTCTGAGACACGCACATCCCACAGTGAAATGCATGAGCAGGTGGTGATAAACAGAGGACATCAGGTAAAGGCTTCCCAAGGGATGAGCACGAAAGTGCTACTTATCACAAAAGCACAGAGGGAGTCCATCAGAAACATTGCCTTCTAACAATGAGAAACGGCATGTGGGCATGTGGTTTATGCCTTTGTTTCCGTCTGTGCCATTGGAGAAGTATAGGAAGAAAGATTACAATAGCATTCCCCAGAAACAAACACACCAAGGAGCCAGTCACCAAACCTGCTTCTCTACTAGTGATTCATTTACAAGTTTCCATGCACTGCAAAGAGGTTATGTTTCAGATTCCATATTGCAGATGGAAACATGGAGATATTTCCCACTGATACCAAGTAATAATGTAGAATTCACACACTTTGCAAGGCAGGGTGAATCACAATGCTTAGTCACACAGACAAAGGAAGCATGCACAGGGGCTTGCAGAAACATGTTATTATCTGGCAACCTTCAGAGATGATAAGACTTAAGTCTGTTTCCCACAACCCCACAGTTCCAGAATGGAGAAGGTGGCTTATTTGTAAGTGTGATTAAGCAGTTGTATATTCGAGGAGATATTCAAAACAGGTAAGAACAAAAGTTCAGATGGCATCACCCAGGCATCTTTCTTTTTCTTGTAAAGCTTGAATCTACCCACAACACTAGATTTCTAATAAGGTTCTTTCTTACAAGCCTAGTGTTTCACAAAAAATATAAGGAAAAAGGAGACTCTTGTTATATAGTAAATGTTTTTTAGGAAGCAGAGAGGGGGTTTTCATTAGATAGAGCCTCTGTCATTGTCTCACTAGGTGATGCCTCAAACTAGATGTGAAAACCACACACTTACAGATTAAATCTATTTCTTTCATGTGCTTCTATCTTTGGCTGGCCAGATAGCTTGTTAGGAACATCAACAGTCTGGATCTATGTTTACTTCAGTATGATGTGTTAAGGAACCTAACACCTTGGACAATTCCTTCGGTGTTTGTGTGTGTGTGTGTGTGTGTGTGTGTGTGTGTTGTGTTTTCAATGCCCATCATTGAACTCAGAAGGTAGTTTCTACCCGCATTGTGAAGCCCTCCATTACCAGTTGCCCCTGCTGTCACATGAGAGTCTTCAGTTGGTGTGGGGGAGTACTTCCCCTGCCATCCATTCTCAAACCACTGCTCCTGCTGAGTAGCTGCTTCTTCTGCTGTACTACTAGGAGCTGCCCAGGCTGCGAGGAGAATGCTGATGGTGAGCCACATTGTCCAGGTTCTTAACAAACCCTCTGGTATGCCTGTCTACATTAAGGGCAGAGCTAGATAGGTAGGTAGCCAGGTAGGTAGATACATATATACATACTATATACATACACATATAGATACATGGATGATAGATAAATACATAATACATGCATATATACATTCATGATAGATAGATAGATAGATAGATAGATAGTTAATGACAATAATAATTGTGGATAAGCTACTTATATTCCAAAAGGTAGATTCAAGAAAGAAAACTTTTAATTTTCCAAATGGGAAAACAAATTTCATTTGCTGAAAATCATGTACTCAGAGTAGCGCAAAGTCAGGACAAGATCCTAGCCGGTGGATTATAAATTCTGGCCTCACATATTCGGCCAGAAAGAGTTTCTGTTGGAAGAATAATCTCTGTGTTCCAGTGATTTTTGCAGTGGAAAATGTGTTACATGGCAACTCACAATACTTGTGTAGCAGGAGACATTTGCAAATAGGCTGTAAAACCTATCACCGCACTCAGCAGAAATGTGCTGGCATGCAAGCTGTGGGGATGCCTGGGATATTACTGTCATGTGATTGTCTAGGGACATTTTAAATAGCAAAATCTCTTCTGAACAAAGCTAATTCAGTGGAAGAAAAAAACATTCTAGCCAGTTGGGGAATTATATAAATAATAACAGTATCAGACAGGCTTAACCTTTCAAATGCTGTTTTAAAAAGGCAAGATGACTGGGATAAAATCCCATCAGAGTGCTTCCTGGAAAAGTCAGAAAGTCACTGACATTTCCATCTGTAACAGTTCATAGCAAATTTCTGATTCATCAGGAAAATTAGGGCCTATAAACTGCCAAGCCAAAATAACTTTTGTGACTTACAAAATTCACTGTATCTCATTATCTTAGAAAATGATGTGTGTGTGTGATTTTGTAATAGCAAATATATTTTTAAAATGTAACTCATGCTAATTTTGCAATTTCCAAGCCATTCCTGGGATTAACTGATTATCCAAAGGGATGGAGGCCCAAATCTTTAGTTATTTTCCATTAGTGAAATCACTATCTCTCCACAAATAATGAAGTTAAAAAATTTTAATGCAATTATTTTTAAAAGTAAAAATTAAAAAGTACACTGCTATGCCACTCAAAGTTTAAAGAATAAATAAGTATGCATGTGTGCTCACAAATACACACATATATCTACATTCACTCTCTGAGATACAGATGAAAGATGAATACATTTCACTTTTTCTTTGTTTTCTTGTCCTAGGTTCATAATCCAGTGGTGAAACACAAGACTGTTTTTAGAAAACCTGAGATATTTTTCTATAAGTAGAAATAGCAATAAGAGCATCAAGGTCTTTCTCAAGTTGCCCTGAAAATTTTTTAACCAAATAAGGTTAGCTTAGAACTTGAAGAGAAACCATATGAGCCCTGATTTTCCACCAAGGACACAGTGGTACTATTCTACCACAGAGCAAGGAAGAGAGTGTGGAAATAAAGAAACTGGATATATTGCAGGTATTCATTGAAGATGATTTCAAAGATATGCCCACTTGTGAAGCTTTCCTTCCAGATCCCACACTTAATACCTGAGGAGCATGCTCCCAAAAACACACACCAACCACCAAAACAGAAGCATTAAGAGTTATTAACACAAAAATGGCATCTCATATCCACTTTGTAAGCATTCTGGTCTCTTGGAAAATCTGACAACTTGTCATCTTTCTTCCTTATTTACAAAAATCATGGGCAGATCTGGCCCCTTTCAGGCTCTGAAGATAAATTACTTTGCAGAGACAAAAGCTGAGGCCAACAACTAAACAACATCTCTGTTAAATTGGGTACTAGAACCTCAGAGCACCATCCTTCTTACTTGTACTTGTAGCACGTGGGATCTCCTCTTCATCCTGATATTCATGGTGATTGAAAGGAGGCTGTGCGTCCTGGGTGGAGTTCTCTCCATGAGCAATAGTGCTGTTTCTGTCTACATCTGTTGTGATGATGGTTAAGTACACTGTGACTTTTAATCAAATAGTCTTTAATAATCCTTTTCTTCTACTAAAGTACATATTATCTACTGGTCCTATGCCTAAGCACTATCTCTAAATACTTACTCTCAATAACTGAGAGTGATTTTTACTAATCTGCCTCCAGAGAAATGAACAGGTAAAGAATTCTATGATATTACTTATTATTCCAGAATAATAAAATGTAAACCATTCATATGGATTCATTTTTATAACAAAATGACATAAAATACCTTGTGTCCAGATAGTATGGTTGATAAATGACTCCCATGTGGAGTTGAGTACCCTCATGAAAGTTTGCTAAGGATTTGTGATGAGACATTAATTAAATTTCCCACCGAGTCCAGATGTTTGACCTTCACAGTATCATAGGCTTTGAGGGAAAGTATCATTAACAAATGTGCATAATTCTTTACCAGTCATCCCAGTGGTTGTCTGAGGTAGTGCTTCTGGGTTTGAATGGTTTGGCTTCCAATGGATCCAGTCTTGGTTCTGTTTTGTGTGATCAGAAACCCGTGGAGTGGATGAAACTGTGATAATGATGATTGAGGCAATTAGAAAAATGTTATTTCTGGAGCCTTCATTGCTTGCTTTGTACATTTCATCCTTCTGTAGTCTACACACCAGCTCATCTATACGAGGATGTATAGATGGTTGAATGGAAATGGAGAGAAAGGAGAGAGCCTTCAGCTTCATCCACCATGCTGGTTTGCATCTCAGTGTCCTTTGCACTTAGAACATGAGATCTTCTGGATAAAATAGTCAAGGAGGTTGCAGCAGCAGGAAGAACAGCTTTGAAGACACTAGCCCTCCACCAAGAATGAGCAAAGATGTGAAGAGTTTTGCCCATCCATGCAAACTGTAGGAGCCCTCCACATCTGGAAGTCCAAGCCATTCGTTGGTATCACTGGCAGGTGTGCTAGCTGTAGATCCTCAGGCTGAAGAGGTTGATAGCTGAGTTACAACACAGGAATCACTATTTTGTTAGTGATTTTGCTGGGGGAAAGACATAACCACAAGAGCCAAAGCTTTCATGTATATGGCGTTTGGAAAGAATCTCTGCCTTATAGAACCATTCGGCTTAACTATATTTTTTTCCCTGAACATCTACCCAAAAGCCACATAATAAATACAGAACGTGTTATAAGCAAGCCATTCATAGCCACTGAAAAAGGACCAAGATATACACTTTCATAGAAAAGAATAAGAAGTAACCATCCACCATCAGCATAATACACTGGAAAACAAAGACATGTCAATTCACCAATGCCAGTATCATGCAAAATAGGAAGGCTGGGATAGAAGGTTTGACAATGCCAGAAACTATGTCTTTTGTGAAAAGGCTATTTGCAAGTTTATCTTCCTTCAAATTTTACTTTGATACCCAGATAACTCAAAACCATTTCACAAGTAAAGAAAATATTTTAGAGTTATTAACCATTTTTCTAATAAGCATGAAAAGTGGTAGTTAGACCAAGCCTCCAGGAGAAAGAGGGCATCCTGTTGAATTAAAAGGCTTAGGTGCTAAGCAAAAAAGTTAAATTGAATACACAAGTTAAATTGAATACACACTATAAAGATGGGGGGATGACATGACAACTTTATCCCCTGGAGTGTGACCATATTAACACATTTGTAAGTAGTTCTTTTGAGATTGATTTCTAGGGAAGCTACATCCTGAATCCAGAAGACACTGTCATAGTAATAGTCAATGTATGGGGTTCTTTGGTTGTTTTCTAATGTTCCTAAGCTCTGTAGAGGCTCCAGCATGAGGAATGTGCCACTTAAATCTGTCTCTAATATTTTCTGTATCGGTGCCACACACTCAGATGTCTTCAAGCCACATATTGCTTTTACGTCCTACCCTCACTAGGTGTTATTCACTTGGGAATGAAGTCCTTCAGTTGTAACGGGATGGATAAAGCTCTTGCTGTCTAAGAGAGCTGATACAGTACCCCCATATCCTTCCTGCAAATGTTAATTGAATCAGGTTTATGATTCTCATTTCTGTCCAGCAAAAACTTAGCTTATGACATGTTTAGGGAAATCTGTCACTGGGCAGAATGGGATAATTTCTCTACATTCTCCCTCTCGATGTCCTTAGGAAATTTTATAGAGCTCACAAATTTGCACATGATTACATAGTGGTGTCACTATCTGCTTTTATTTATTGACACTGTCTTTTTAAAAGCTTAGCTGGCATTTATTCTGCCTTCTACTGTTTTCTGTTATATTAGTGTCCAGCAAGGTAGTTTAAACTTTTTGAATTTTTTCTTTTGATTTGAACCATTATTTGATTAATTAAGGAAGTTCTTGAGCTCTGGCTCCTATGTTTTAAGCCATTCCAAGGCCTCCCAAGCTTTCAATTCAGGGTCATGTGCAACTTTTAATTCCCGTCCTCCAAGTCACATTAACATTTGTCCGAGCAGTCCATGAGCCTCCTGTAGGCAAAAGTTTTGGCCTTTCCATCTTTTTGTTCTCATCGTCTGGCATAGCAGGGACACAGTGAATATTTGCTGTGGTGTTTTAATATGTCATTCCCTAGTCACACCTGAGAATGCAGATATTCTATAAGAGCAGACCTTGATAAACAGAACAGGAAGAACTCAAAGTGTCAGAAAATTCAGGACCTATTTTTCTCAGCAATGTTTTGTTTTCCATTTTATCTCCTCCTCCTAAATCTCATCAGAATGGAATTAAGGTAAAATCATAGATTCACTCATTTTTCGCATCATCTGTTTCCCAAGACAGATACTGTATCATCACTTAAGTCCCTCAGCAATCCTTGCATATATGGTTCTACTGTAATTGGTTATTCTTACTGGTGCTGGAGATAAAATCTTCATCATCATCAATGCCTGATCCAGAAAAACTGGGGTATTTGTCTGTTTCATCTTCATTTTCCTCATTTGGCTCCCGGCCTGTTGGATTGGTATTTGACTCCGTACCTGTTGTGGTGACTTGCATTAGTAGTTGAGCTGGCTACCAAGTAACCCATTTCAACCAAGGAGGGAAGTCAGACATGGAAGGCATTATGGTGTTCCCAAGATTTTAAGAAGAAAGTGAAAGAGTAGGTTTATATATCTGTAAGGTCTCATATCTGAAGATAATACGTGGGCCTTAAAACAATTGACTATGATCTTTACAAGTCAATATTCTCCAAGGAGGTTAAGAGTAACTGTGGGTAGAGCCTACATAAGAAGTTAGAGAAAAAACACAACAAAGCCCAGAGCCATGCAAATTTGCCCTTGCTTTCAGATGTCTTTCTTATTACATCTTTGGAATATTCTATTAAAGCTAGGGTATCAGGACAAGAATAGGAAGGTTTCGTATATCCCTATTTGCAGTCAAGACACTTTCAGTAATACCCCAAAGTCAAGTTTCTAAAATTCTATAGTTACAAACGTATTTTTAAAATTCATTTGTTTTCTTTTATTCTTACTTCTTATCAGGGTTCATTGGTTATAAGAAGTAAAGGGTTTTGTTTCAACATTTCTAAGAAGGTGCATGCAGTTTCTCAGTCTTTATCTTTCATCAGATCCTGTGTCCCTAATGCGAATACAAGGAACACTATTCATCTTCAACAAAATTTCCCATCGAGGAAGAAAAGGTTAGTTAACAGAATTTTTCTTGTCATTTATTAATCAACCAAAAAGACTCAAAGAGGCTGATGACAGTAGACTGTAGTCCATATTTTGAGAATTTCTCACTTTCAATTTTTGGATGCCACTTTTAAAAAGAAAATGGAAATCTTTGACCTTTTCTCAGTATACACTGCAAAAGATGTCTTTTTACTGAAAAGGATTCTTCTAACTTTTGAATGCAATTCAGTCTGTCTTATGGTTTTCTTACTATTGGTGTCTAACTAAATCACTTGATAGAAATCTTCTATATTTTGGTAGCTATGTTTATGTTATTTTACATTCTCTAAATTTATTTGACTTTGCTAATTTGAGGATGTACCCAGACAATCGTTTAGAGTTGAGATTTTATGTTACCACCAAAAAGTTGCCCCACTTTACAATTTTCTAATTAATTTTATTCTAGGCTATATCTATTCATATGAAGTATAGAGAAGAAAAACCATGTATTAGTGATATTAAGACAAACATAAAGATATCAGAGTTGGTCTTTTCTAAATTGACACATACATTTGTAAGACAGAATGGCATTTAGATTTTAACCACATCCCATAGGTTAATGAGAATTATTAAAGGCTGTCAGGCAGGCATATGATACATGGTATCTGTAACTCATTACCAGGCATCTTCGTTGTTGTATGAAGATGACTCTTGGACTCTGATGGTTGAAAGAACCATGAAAACCAGTCCTGGGCTTCTTGCCTCTTGGGCGGTGTTTCAGGGGTGGTCATCAAGGCTGTTGTAACCATGATTGAATTGATTGTTGAAATGTTAATTATCAATTCCTAAGAAATAGCATGATAAATGTTTCCACTCTCTCCCTACCCAGAGAGACATCTATTCTTCACATAGGTAGTAGGAAGAAATGAAAAACAAGAAGTTCTGTTTCTTTCAAGAGCCCAAACTGAAGTCAATAAAATGTCAGAGGTGGAGGGATCTTAAACATCAAGTGTTCCATGCTTTCATCATAAGATGAAAAACCAGTGCTAGATACTTGTCTGAAGTACAGTAAGCAACAGAGAAGTCTCAAAAAATGGAAGAAAATTATCTAAAGTACTAGCCTATAAACTAGAACAAGAGTTGAATATTTGTCTCCTTCCCCAGGAAGCCAAATTAAGACCTGAGGTGAGAATTTTAGAAATAGAGTGTTCCAAAAACTAAAATTAAAAAGTAGGTGATATTTTAAACAATTTAAGATTGAACTAAACAATTTAAGATCCTCTCCAAATCTGATCATTTGTGATTTTAGTGTCCAGCTCTTAGGAACCCAAGCCCTTTGATGTTCTTCACAGTTGAAGGTGGTCAACCAATATCATTCCCATGAGTTAAGGGTATGATATTCTGTCAGAAGTCGCAGGCATGTAACCCCATGAACCCCAAATGAAAGTGAGAATGGGACAGGAAGAGGGACACGGAAGAAGATGTCTTCCCACCTTTTTCCAAGGAGGTTGCATATCCTAGAGCCATTGCCCATAATCATTTCATGTCAACACTGTACTTCGCAAGAAAGAGCAGTCTATTTTTTGAAAATATAGTATAATGCATGAAGAAAAACAGGAAGAAATGAAGGAACCCAATGACTCCACCAATACCAAAGCAACAGTCTCAATTTGAACACTCCCAAAGGTTGACAATTATGTTATCATGATGCACATGGGAATATGAAATAATAGGAAACCAAAAAAACAGAATAAGTTTAAGCAGAGGAAGCCAAAGCCATCCATAAGTTTCCAAATACAACAATCAGTGAAATTTCTCTTGCCAGTTATCAAGAAAGCCGATAAACAATTAAAGATGAAACACAGCCACAGAACCCCTTTATTCACACTATTTGTCCTATGAAGATGTGTCATACATGTCAGCATAACAGATAGCATTTTCCTTATTCTGCCATCTCTTCCCTCCACCTGCCCACCTCAGCATGCTGTTAATCACTGTGATGTGCTAAGCACACAGAACAACAGTGAGTTTCCTATATGATCGCAGAAGGAAGGATGTAGTTTTTCAGTGTCTTACAAGGTGAGCAAATGTATAAGGCCATTTCCCCATTTTTATGACACCACGTCTGCAGAGAAAATGCTTATTTAGAAATACAGCCATATTATTTGTTATAAGTTAATAAATGAAGAAATTCCTGTTACCTCCCATTATTATAGACTGATTCACTTTTCCTACTCCCAAGGCAAAGATTTCAAGTCAAAATATCTGAGAGCTAGTGCCCAAACATCCCTAGAGTTTACTTATGTCTCCTATCTGCTGGTATAAAGCAACAGGTCATTGTCATTTCTTAGAACTTTAATTGTATGTTTTCAGTGTCCAAAGTAATAAAAAAACCTATGCTTCCTATTCATGAATCAGTGTTTCTCTCTTTTTAAAAATATGATTATTTGGTCAGTAGATGTCTTTCTAGAGGTCACCTCCTGAATGACTCTTCTAGTCATAGGAAAAAGAATCTGACTCTGTTCATGTTGCTAGAATGAGGAGACAATAGATACACAGGTCTCCATGGCCACTGAATGATATCAGAACCTGATGCCAGCAAGGATGCTGTCTATATATGATAATGAACACCCATCCTTAATACCTCCCTGAAGGCAGGTGACAAGCAAAAGATGCTATAGTTTACCTGTAGTTGCTGTCGTTGTGGGCTCCTGAGTCTGAGTCGTGGATTGTGAATTACCAAACCAAAACCATATCCAATTATTTTGTTTCTGAGCTGCTGCATGGCTGTTTGAGTGCACAGCTGAGGCAACTAGATTAATTATGAAAATACCATTTAGTGAGATTCCCCTGTCATCTATAAAACTTGTACTCTCTGCCCTATATAAAATATCTCTATTTATTATAGAATGATGACTTAAAAAGGAAAGTTAGGGTCCACTTTTATATTTCCAGACTCCTAATATTTCACAGAATCTTAGGGCAGAGTCAAAAAGGCAATTTAGGGCATCAGTTCAATGGCCTTAGTCTTCTATTCGGCCCCCTCAAATCATGACCAGGGAAAACTCAAGCAGCAAATTAACTGCGATGGAGAGAGATTTGCTCTTCTCCAATGGCATCATCATTCAACCGTGCTCTGGAGGTCTTCAGTGCAGCAGAGCTTACAATGACTTCCATTCATTAATCTTCAGAGGGTCTTTGTGGATGTCTGAATCTTTTCTGTTTGTTCAGCATTGTACCCAGGTAGCCTGTGACAATGGTCATTTCAGAGCTCCACTCATCCTCATCAAGCACAAGTTAAACTTCATAGTTGGGCAAGAATTTTGAAAAGAGTTCATATTTAAAATGTTGCCACTAGATGACATTTTCTCCAGTATCTGTCTATCACTTCCCGCATAGATCTGATAAAAGCAAAGACTTGTTCATCCATTCAAGTTAGAGAAATGGTAATAAGAACATTTATTAATTAAAATTATTAATTAAAAAGAAAGATCTTTCATCTGACTTTCAAGTTGGACTGGTTTCCAAAATGTTACCCATAAGGAACAAAATGACAAATGCCATTGGGATAAATGTCTGAATTCGCTGGAGCTTTAAAAAGAAAACAGTTTAAATCAAACACTTCTTCTCATATTGCAAGTAGTTCATGCATAGCATGGAGAATCTACTGGAACCCATGTTTAGAACTGGGACATCACACAATAACAAATGCCAAAGAGCCCATTAGTGAGAGCAGAGCAGAAGTTACCCACAATGCCCCCAGTAAGGCACCCACAAAAGTCTACAGACTTCCCACTACCGGACATTGCACTAACGATGCTTAGTCTCCAGCGTTCACCTTCAGGTACTCCCAGAAAAAGCAGCTAACAAGAAATGGACACACAGAGACAAATGACTTCTGTCTTCCTCCATGGAGTTGTGTGAGAGGAGACAATGAAAGAAGTGTCAGTCTAGTCATCAGTTTCCGATTTGCCCCACCCAAGTAAGGTCATGCGAGACGGAAAACAAATTATTTCACTTGACACCCAGAAGACAGGAAGTGGAGCTTTCCAAGGCAGGAGCTTATTTCCTAAATTAGTTTAGGCTTCTTGATTCCAGAGAATTCCAGATGACCAATAAGAAGAGACTGATGACACACCTCCAGTCAGACTCTTCCAAAAACAACATTTCTAAATTAACAGCCAGTGGGAAAACCCAAGTCTACAGGGCCTGTTGTTCTTGCTAGTTTTCCCTGTTGCCACCCACTGAGCATCCCGAGAAAGGAATGAGCTGGTGAGGCCAAACAGCTTCTTTCCGTGTCCTCAGCCAGCCTAGCTCTTGACCTCTGCGCCTCGGCATGCTAATCTGCATCCACTCCCTCTCAGTGTGTCTCAACCCTCCACCCAACAGTGATAAATCAGCCCTTGGGAAACTCCTCTTTGGACTCAGAAAGTAGGATTCTATGCAGAAGTTTGTCAGTGCCAACTCTGTCGTGTTGCATGCTATGTACAAGTAAATTGAACCTGGTGGGCGAATCAGCCTCTCTTCCTCGCCTGTTAGGAAGAACTAAGCTACATGCTCTATAGTAAAATTCCCTTTTCCCTCAAATCCTCAGCTATGTTTTCATTAAGCCTCACACATGCCTTTCCTTTGATTTCTAAGCTAGGATGTCGTATCCATGATGGGTCCACCTCTGACCCCCATACACTAATGCAGTGTCTGCAGCAGAGAAGACACTCAGTATAGAGAGAATGGATGAAAACGTCACTCACCCTGGCTTCTCTTTGAGATTACTCTCTCTAACCATAGAATAAATGACCTGGGAGGGTGTGGGACGCTTGAACAGATATGCCTTGTATGTAAGATTGAAGTCTGTGTATGTGCGCACATGTGGTGGCATAACAACGTTTTCCTTGATTGCGTTCCACCTTCCTTTTTGAGATAGTTATCTCTCACTTAGCCTGCAGCTCACTCATTTGACTAGACTGGCTGGCCAGCAAACTGGGGTCTTCTCCTGGCTCTATCTCCCTACTATGAGGGTTGCCATGTATGCTGTCACACTCAAGTTTTTTATGTGGATGCCAAGGATCAAAAAACCAGGTCCTCATGCTCACAAGGCAAGCACTCTACCCAATTAGCTATTACTAGGCCCCCAGAATCTGATGGAGGATTTTTTTGGACAGACTTCAAAGAATTTCTGGGAATGACTGGAATCCTGCACCTGTTTGCATCTCCCCTTCCCCTCACTCAGCAACCTGATAACAGGAATTGAAAACACTGCTGAGTGAGTTCAACTTATATCAGAATGCTGTGGAGGCTTCCTGGCTTCTGAGTGACTGCGTAAAAAGAGCCCTGTCTTGAATATTCACAAGCCAGTAGATTCCTGCCAAACCACAAAGAAGCCAGAGTTCTACCCCTTGCAGCCAGGAAAGGAGAAAATCCACACCATACTAGGATACCCAGTGAAGACTTAGCTGCCCTTTTGGGTTTCAATAGTCCTCCATAGCAGGAGCCCAGCCAACTGAAACCCCATTCTAAAACAAACAATAGAGGAAGTACAGAGGAAACGGGAGTAGATGAGGCGCTCTGAGCTCCTTGCTACCAGAGTCCAACTGCACAAACCCAGCATCATCCAATGCAGCCGCATGCACAGCCTGCTGTCACCCCCACATACCCAAAGAACATTGGGATTTTCCCTAACAGACTGAAATCTAGAACTCTGCGGCTGACAAAGGTGCTCAGAAATCCCCTCACACCACTGTGAGTTCGACCATGCTCCAGCGAATATATGGGCAGCACAGCTTGGGCTTGATATATTTTTTCTTTTCTTCTTTGTTCTTTTCCTTTTCGTTTCCTGCGGAGGTCTGAAGGTGGGAGGTTGGACCTGGGAGGACTGGGAAGTGAGTTTGATCAGGGTGCATTATGTGAAATCCCTAAATAATCAATAAAAATATTATGTTTGAAAAAAGAAAACCCTTCATATTTGTTTCCTTGGACCAAAAGAACGGAATGGCTTAGAAAATTCTGGTTAAGGAATATGACTGGATACAATACAATCAGAACCTTGAGAATAAATCAGGTTTAAACGTAGGACTTTAAGGCAGGGTTGTAAAAGGAACCTGTGGAATGGAGTGTATACTCTGCAGCTGTAACTTTAGTAGAATAGTCTTGCGCATAGCGAAAAACCACAAGAATGAAACAAGCAACACCAGAGATTCTTCTTGCAAGAGGTCTGAGGCATCGCTCAGTCATCAGGAATGAGAGAAAAGAAGCACTGCCCCAAGGAAATTTTCCAATATGGCCCACCGTGTCCCAAGATAAGAGGTGCAGAACTGAAGGAGGAGGCAATGTGAAGGAGAGTAGGAGTCAGTGCACACTGACCAGGAGCGTGGACAGGCACAGGAGCCCAACTCCCTAAATGATATCACCCAGATCTAGATGCCTAAGGATGGCAGAAAACAAACACTGGAGTGTGCAACACTCAAGAGGGTCATTGGCATTCTGTCAACGAACAGCTATAGGAAAGCACAACCGTTCCCTTCTCCTTACTGGTGGCCATGGTGCTCCCGATGAAGTAGGGATCATCCTGGTCTGCAGTTGAGTGTATAGTGGGAAGGTAGGTGTGGAAAACATAGCCCCCTGAGGTGCTCTTCTCACTGGAGGATCCGCTGCTGACATCATCATCTGTGGTATTTGAGGCATCAATGTCTTCTTGGTGTGTTCTATACTCGCCCTTCTTGCTGTAGCGGGTACCATCACGGTTGACAATAGCTGAAGGAGACAGAGAGGCACCTTCAGAACTTCACAGATGATACTTATCTTGAGCATAGGAAAGACAGTGGATTGTCGTATGACATGACTTGGAAGCTATTTTCTTTTGCTTTAAAAACATCTGTCTAGTGCTGAGATATAGTGGGTGAAATGCTCTGGAAAAGGGGAGGGGAAAGTTGAGGTACTAGGAAGCTCCCACATTTGAATCTGAGTTTCAAATCTCTCTAGACAAGGTAACCCTGTGAGCAAAAGCAGTTAGTGCTCTTAACACTGAGCCAGCTTTCCAACCCTCAGACAATTTATAAAGAATGGAGGTTTATTTTGCTTATGACCCTTGAGTCCTGGCTGAGAAGTTCAAGAACACCATTCCAGTGTCTGTTTTGGATCTGCTGAGGGTCTTCTTTCTGTTTGCTATCGTATGGCAGAGAGCATCACGTGGTAAAACAGCAAGCGAGCCAACTCAGGTCTCTCTTCCTCGCCTTATAAAGCTACTGATGTCATCAAGCCTCACCCTTACTCTATCCTGTCCTAACTACATCTCAATGATCTCAACCCCAATTACTACTAACGTGTGAAACTGGGAGTTATATTTCCAACACATGAACTTCTGGGGCAGATGTATTCAAACCATGGTATTGACCAAACATAGAGATATGGAGTTTGGAGAAATTTTCAGGAACCATGGAAATTGGGCATTTCATAAGCATCTGATAGGTGCCAGGCACGTACGAGACACATCAGAGTCTTGTGATGATTCTTACATGTTGTATCTTACACATAAGAGGAGCCTGAAGCTCAGGAAAAGTTGTGGCTCTAGTATAACATGGTAGCTGTTGGGATGTGAAGCATCCTCTGGCTGCTACAGGACACAGGCCAAGTGAGAGGCTGGACTTACACAGTTGAGGGAGAGCTCATCACACTACTGCTGCCACTGTGTCCACACACCCTGCTGGGGCCTGACTCCAAGGAAGCAGAGATAAGCTTATAAATTAATCTGTTGGGAAGTTCTGACGAATGTTTTCCATCTTCTAAATTGGTATGTGCAATTTTTTTATAGATGATCTAAGATGAGTGTGATATAGATGATATTGAAGCACATACCAGGAAGCTTGTGGCCTTCATAATCATGTACTTCGACAAGATCTCGACAAGAAAATTCTCATATCTCCATCCCTGAGACTCCTTAAACCTTCTCTATTAGACAGAGCACAGCTCAGGTACAATTGTTAACTGCTAGAAGTTTAAAACTATTATTTACTTTGTCTTGTACTTAAATTGATTTTTAAGGTTACCTTTAATTTATGACAAGTAGTATTCATTTTCCATTTGCAGTTTCTTTTGAAAAACAACTGAATTTTATTTGGAAGAGAACGATCAAGTAAACAATGGAGCAGTAGAGTATACAGATGGGTTCCCAGTGTGTGAGAGCAGTTTTCAAATGACTGATGTTTCAGAATGGGGCATAGGGGTAAATCAGAGAAGTTTCAAGCCATCGTGGAAAAGGAGAATGGGGTGTGGAAACACAGCCATTCTCCCCTTAGGGAAACAACTTAATAGCCTATTTGAATGGTAACAGTAGAGAACACGCCAGATGCCTTTCCCAAGAATGAGACAAATCGCCCAAAACTAGAAGGGGTACATACTTATGGTAACTGGTCCTTCGAAGGAATTGGGCAGGTCTGTGACAGATGTACAGTCTTCTTCAAGGGGTGCTATGGGAAAGAACAAAAAAAGCATGAAATAAAAATAAATGACTAAAAAACCCTCACAGCTAATGTGTCCTATTAATCAGTTAGAATAGAGTTTTGCTCTAATTTGTCCTAAATTACTTTCTTTTCTTGAAACTTGATAAATGATGAGGAACTTCTTTACTCTTTTTTGGTGTGTTTTCACAATCTTAATTTCAAAAGTTCCAACAAATGTACTATTCCCACCCCCAGCAACTTCATTCATTAAGAAACACATGTGTTCTAGGGCAAGTGTGTTGATATCTGTAATCACGGAGCTGGGAAAAATAGACTGGGCTATACAAGGACAAAGGGAGGCAGGCATTCAATATCTGACACTGTGACAAGTATGATGTTTCATGTTTAATTAGGAATAAGATAGACATGAGTCTTCTCCACTTAAGCATATTATTAAAGAGGATTCTAAATCTCCTTTCAATTGCAAAACAAATGAAATTATTATGAAAAATTAACAATGAAGGCATGTACAGGCTATCATGAAAAATCATTTGCAATCCCAGATATCAACATAGATGATGGGAAACTGTGGTGAACACACGATTGATGTGAACATCAAAAGATTATGAAGATTAAAATAGCATAACCAATGAATTTACTCGATAATCAAAATATTTAGTAGGCAACAAATTTCCAGTCTTTTATTAAAGGATTAATGACTTCATTTATTTGGTTAATATTTATGAGCACTTTCTCCAGTGCAGGGCTTCACAGCAGGCAGCTAGGCCTGACACCTTTGACGTGGGCACCCATGCTGTCTAGGCTGGCCACCTTTGACATGGGCGCCCATGCTGTCTAGGCTGGCCACCTTTGACATGGGCACTCATGCTGTCTTGACATATATCATTTGACTTCTTTTTTCTTGTCTTCCATTTATCTTCTATTCCCACCCTTTATTTAGGATTCCATGCTATGACCTGGGCTAGCTGGTCACCTCCAGGTGTTTTTAGGAGCTTTCTGGTCAGTACCTCCTGACATCCTCAGAAACCAGGACCTACAATTCCTGACTTATGTGTTACTCCTTGAGTCTTAGAAGCAGACAACAGCAATTTATTTAACCACCACCCTGTCATGCCCATGTGCTCTATCAGTGAGTATGGAACTCTTGAATGCCAGAGAGCTACAAAGCAACAGCTTTCATGTAAAGGTTGGTTCCATTGGTGTACTAAAGGGCTACCCCATTCATTTGTTTTCCTGAGATACAGGTTGTTCTTACTCTCATAATCCTCCTGCCTAAGCATCTTAAGTGCCCGGGTTACAAGAGTGTTGCATCACACCCAGCTCCAACTGCATTACAGCTTTTATGGTGTGCATGACCACTTAAATATTAGAAGACAATTTCTTAGGTTGGTTTCTTCTAGAACTGCTTTCTGAGAAAGAGAACAGAAGAAAGACTGATGGGTGGTGGCTGCGCACACATATGCATGGAGGTTTGGAGGGCCAGCATCAGAAAACTGGCAGACAGCTGCCACAAGGAAGGCAGGTCTCAAGTGTTTTTAAGTTCCCTGCCACAAACTGTTGCACACTCATAACACAGGCAGAAACAGACATTGGACAAATAGATAGTGGCTGCTTATCAGTTACTAGAAACACTAGAGACTGTTTTTTAATTCAATCAGTTCTTTGAAAGCAAAAGCTGCTGATGCTGTAGACATTCAAGAGGAGGAGAGTGGGTGTTAGGAAAAGTATTCTTGCACAAGTTGCTGTGAAAAACTTCACAAAGAGAACCTTTTAACAAAAAATCCACCAATGGCCAGTACTCTACCCCTTCCTGACACCTGTCACCGTGGCATATCACCTTTAATTTCTTCTTCATGTGCACTGCGATCTAAAATTGTTCATTTTACTTGATGGCGATTCATATGACTCTCACACCACCCACCTCTGGGTTTTCACCCTGCCATAGTGATGCACGGGCTCTGAAAAATGAGAATAGTAAGTTCATCTGCTTGGGCTAGACCACTGTGAGAACAGAGAGACTCTTAGCATATGTTTGTCAAATGAGAGGAAAGGGGAGGAAATATCTCGTCTCTAAGGAAGCACACCTAAGATGCTATCTCCTAAAATGGTCCACAAGTATCAACAGCTCCAGAAGCCTGGAAAGTGATGCTCTGAGTAGTTATTAAAGTGTTAACTGATTCTTTCTAAGGGCCACTCAGCATTTGCAGGCCAGGCCATAGAAGAAAAAAGCAGACAAAAGAACCTGATTCTATCCTTGGCTCTAAAGAATTTCCAAGTCACCAAATATATTTCTCTAGCTCTTTATTCCTTAAAAATATTTCAAAACCCCCTTATTTGACAATGTAGCTACTGGAAAGATTTTGGAGGTACCTATTCTCTTTGTTTTAGGACTGAGAAAATCTGTGAGTTGTTTCTGGTATTTGGATGTAGAACATCCCCAGAAATGGGCCTGTGAGCTTCCAGGAGTGAAGTTGTAATGGGCTGGGCATGTCAACAACACTGAAGCTACTCTCTTGGTGCGAGTGTGTTCCCACGGAGCCCCTTCATGCTCCATTTCACCTAAAATTTCATAGAGAAGCCAAATCTGGCCAGGATGCCAAGACACATGGTGACCCACGTATACAGTTAACATATTCCTGCCCGTGTCCACTCATGTGACCTCATTAGATTGAGCTTCACTCTCTTAAGCAATGTACTGCTGTGGGTGTCACTGAGCACAGGGACTTGTTAAAGAAACACTAAACTGGTCTTCCCCGGGGCTGTATTCTCAGGAGGTTTGGAGCTCTACTGGCTCCAAAAGGCTAAGATAACAATTATTCAGTCTTGGTGCCAATCTCTGGGTGCCAGGTAGAAAGGGCACTTCCTCCAGGGTAACTTGTAGGTGTTCCATGAGTAAATCTTCCAAACACTTCTCAAAGAAATGAGTGAATGGAAATCATGAATGCAAAATCTGCTCCTTAATTCTACCTAAAGAAGATAATGAACATCTTACAGAAATCAAGCTTTAAAAATTGAGGCTTCAATTAGTTGTCTTTGTCCCTGGTGCCTAGAAGTCACCAGGATCACTCATGTTGGGCCTCAGACTAAGAGATGTGGCAGACAAAAAAAAAGATTACAAAGCCTTTTCCTGAGGACTGCCTTAAATTCCCCTGAGAAGTCACAGAAATATGGGTTTTAAATTTGTAAAAGTTATCTGTGATAGTATTGCTGGCTCTTCTCCCTGTTGCTAGTTTATGGGACTACCTCCCATGGGACCTCCTAGTTGTAGTCTCTGGGCTAGGTATAATCAAAGATTCTTCCAAAGACATTCTTGGCAACAAGGTGGAAGCTGCCAGGTTCTTCATATCATGTGCCAGGATACAGAAATTGCTTATTCCCAGCTGCATTTATTCCTGCCTCTCTTTTCTGTATTTTCTGTCTTGCTGCTTCAAGAAGACTGTTAATTCCTTGAAGACAAGAAACATGCTTTCTGGTTCTTTCTTACCCTCAATTAGCACAACAGTGTGCAGATACTGCTAATCAATAAATATCATCATCGAACTTACTATAAAAGCTTATCAACAGGAGTCCATGTAGAAAATAGAGAAAAAATGAAAAGTAGTATTACTTTTCACTTTACTACTTTTAACACAATCATTTTGGGATGAAGCAGATCTCTAGTACTTCTCCCTGTTTCCAACAGAACTAACACCTGCTTCTTTAAGGAGAAGAGAGTTGGTTCATCAACATTGTTGACCCCTGTGCTGGGGACAGACTCAAACTCGGGGGCAACATGAAGGATAGGGAGAAAAGCAGAAGCAGCTGTTTGCCTTGATCGCTTTCCATTCCTAGCCATAAAACAGTGTGTGCTTTTGCCTGTTTCAATTAAATTTCTCAGCACCTTAACTCAAAGTGATACCAGCTTGTAAACCAGCTGAGACAGTGTGGGAACACAGTCATGTGATTTATTGCATACATTCCCTGAACAAGACTCAGCAGGAGAAGCAAAAACAGAACCCAAAAGACTGGGCAGCTGGCAAGATCACACCAAGCTGAGTGAGCAACTGGCAGGATCATACCAAATTGAATGAGCAGCTGGCAGGATCATACCAAGCTAAGTCTTTGCCACCTGTTCAACCCCTTCATTCCTGACCCCTTCTTTGCACAAAGGTGGAAGAAGTTAACTCTGGGTGCTCTGTGCCTACTTCCTGTTTATCCATCTGAGCTTTGGTTCATGACATTGAGTATGGACAGTGCCCTGTATGGTTTTGGGTGGACTTCCCCGTTTTGATTGAACTCCACGTGTGTTTTTTGCTCATGTGATAGAGAGAGGCAAACTTGCTGTGATTTTTCTCCTTGTATTGTGTGCGTGTGTGTGTGTGTGTGTGTGTGTGTGTGTGTGTGTGTGTGTGTGTTATCCATGTCCCATGCATACTTGGAATAACTCACTGGGTTCATATACTGTATTTGAACTACTTGGCTTCAATATATCCACTTCCCCCAAACTCTAGATTTCTCCTCTGAATTCCCACTCTAACCCTCAGTGCTTGTGAAATAATGGGTAGGTGGCGCTGGCACAGTCTAAGGACACTGATGTAATCTCCTGCTGCCCTTGATGCCCCCTGTTACCTTAGAAGTTCACATAGTTTTTATATCCTACCACCATATTATACTAGCTATGGTTTCACGGGGATAACGTCTTTAGCCACATTCCAGCCTATTTAACATCTTCCTTCCATGTTTAAGGAAAAATTACAGTCCTGGGAGATGTGACAAGTTCACCTCAAAGACTTTTCCTTCCTGCCACTCAGTTCCAGCCCTTTGGGGGAATAGAAGATACAGTTTGAGAACTAAGGGTTTTGATTGTTGGCCTTTAAAACTTTGACATTTATGGTTTCAGTTCTTTTCAAAAGACTCTGAAAATGTATAGTACATTGAATTCTTTGTGGTGGCTTGAATAGACTTGTAAGCATGACTTCTAAGCTCATAGTTGGAAAAGGGTTCACAGACAAAGGAGGGAACCCAGCGTCTCTATCTTCGCCTTCTTATTCCTGGTGGTCTCAACCATTGGGTGAGGGGAATTTTCAAGGCAACAGTCTATCATATCCTCCTTGCCTTTTCACTAGCTCCATTTATAGTAATACTCTCAGCCATTTGGTTCGCACTCCCTAACTATCAATGCGTGGATACCACTTTCTTTTAGAAACTGCTTCAAGTTCCAAACTCACTGAAGGCTCTAGTCACCCCTCCTCTAAACCTCTTTAACTTCTTTGCCTGTAGTTCTGTCCTTGACTGGGTATTTATCACCTTGAATTCCATGGTATTTGTTGGGTAGAATTAAGGTGTTCCTGTTGTGGGCTTCACATGGCCTTCCCATCGGTCAAGAGCTCCACTCCTTTTCTTTGATGGTGGCTCTCCTAAACACTTCCTCAGATGTACCTTCCCTCTTCACCTCTCAAATGAATAACATCCCCGGAGCTTGTGTCTTCCTATGGTGCTTACTTTTTCGGCACTCTCCAACCTCATGTAAGAGAACTGATATTTAATTGTTCATCATCTGCTTCCCAAGCCTGGCACGTTAATACCATGAATACAGGAATCCAGATCTTCCTTCTACTGTAGAAACTCTCAGGACTCATCTTGAGTGGAAGCTTCAGGAAGCTCCACCCATGTTTTTACTGGACTATTGTCAGAAAACCATGCTCCCACAGGCAACCCAAAGATCATGCACTTAGAACCAACCTGAGGCATTGAAGCAATATGTATCGTAGTGGGAGGTGTTGGATGTGAGGATATACACCCCAGTGTGGTTGGCTGCACAGATGGCATTGGGCTGGATCCTCGGGATCACCACGTGGCCTTCTATGAACCCATACCTGCCAAGGAAAAACAGAAGTTATTAACCTGTATGGCCAGGATGTCTTTCCATAACTTCCCATAAAATGACATTTAATGCATCACAACACTTCACTTCTTCACCCCAAGGGATATTAGGGGTTTTTACTGAGCTCCATAAAATCCAAAAATACCAGCATGGGAGAGTGAAGGAAATCAAAGCTGAGACAGGCAAAAACATTTTGTTTAAAGACCAGGAGCTGATGATCTTTCTTGTTTTTAAACAAAAAGATTCATGAATGAAAAAAATCTGTTCCATATAAAATTTATGGCCAGCAATGTTATTAAAGGCAACAGAAAGCCTGAGTTACAAAAGAAAGAAGCTACACAAATTTGACACTGAAATAACTCTTTCTTTTCAAAAAATGACATAAAATGACCCATTCCCTAAAACAGCAAGTGGATTAGCCTTCCTTTAGTCTAAGATTACAGACCTGCCTCATTTCTTATCCTCTTCTTTCTTGTCCTCCCCTTCTCCCTTGAGCCCCTCACTCTTTACTCCACTATTGCCAACAGGAAGCCTTGCGCCTATGCTGACTTTGCGAGCAACCCAGACCCGTGGAGATAAATTGGCCATCATTGAACTGAGGGCAATAGCAATTAGGGAGGTAGATGACAGTGGCTTACTTAACAAAGTTCTTCAAGCAACATCCTGTCACCCCTACACCCATCTAGGGATTTCTGGGAGTTTATTGGGGGCTAGAGGCCTTTTCAGATATAGTACACATCACCACCATCGTAGTGGCCATCTGCAACAAGCACAAAATTCACCAAAAACATGGCATGTGGGCAGAGAAACTGCTACCCAAAAGGAAAGAGGTGGCGTGACAGCCAGAGAACAAAGGGTGAGACTCTAAATTCCACAGGGTTTGAGAGTACAATGCAGGCTAAAATGCACCTTCTTTTAATCTCCCTTGAGGGGCAATAGCACAGACTGCAGCACCCTGCAGGACCCGTGGCCATGAGAGAGACTTGGAAGCTCCTAAGCTCCAAGTCTCTCATTATGTTGGTGTTGCAATGGAAGCTCGATGACTAATTCCCCAAAGTCTCCTTGAGCTGCTGGTGGGACGGCACACAATTAACTGGTAAGAAGTTCTCATGGACCTGAGAGTTGTCACTAATCAGGGTGGGGCAGACAAGGCAGAAGTCCCTGCTGAGCCTTTGGCCTAGCCTGTGAGACTATGCCTTCTGTCTTTTGGCAGATATCTGATTCCATAGCTACCTTAGGGAAATTATGAAAGTGAGTTTTGAAACACTTAATACAAGTTATGGGTGAAATGACAGACTTCTCCAGCAGAGGTTTTTCTTCATATTTTTTTTCTGAATAATACTCGACAGTGAAACTAATCTTCACCCTGTCTTCCTGCATGATGTGGACAAGTGTGTGTGTGTGTGTGTGTGTGTGTGTGTGTGTGTGTGTGTATTAGACATTCTAGAATTGAATACATTCTCTTACGTTCTCTTTTGGGTTATTGTGAATTTTCACTAGATCATGCTACTTGACATTTTTATATGCATGTACTACACATGAGTTGGGGGCATTAAAAATTTCTGTAGGTGAACATGGCATGAGTAAATGACTGTCTATGAGGAGGAAAGACGTAGTTAGCAAATCCTTGCTTCCCCCCTTACTCAGTCTCTTGCGAGGGCTTGGTCATTACATTCAGACTGATCACAACCAAACTGAGACTCCTCTGTGTACAAGCAGTGTGATCCATGACAAGCTGTAAGGCTCTGTTGCTTCATCTATAAAATGACTTGGTAATACAATGAACCGTCTAAGGATGTCAAGGATGTCTTTAGGATGCTCCCAGCATCTTGACACTCTGCATTTGTTCCTCTGGCTCTCAACAGATGAGAAATCTCTGTGTTTCACAAGTAAGTCTTAACTGCGTTTCACAGTCATAGGTCAGCTTCTGAAAAGCACTTTGTTAGCCCAGTGACCTAGTCAGGGCACTTGAATAAGTGGTTTTGCTAATCCTTCAGGAAGATAGTGGGTCAGGTTCTGTAGCTACAGAGTCATCACCCATCCTTTAACATTCTCCCAGACTTAGCTCTGAACACTAAGGGACAGAGATGTCTAGCTGGTGCTGCTCAAGACAACATTCTTAAATAATGAAAATATTCTCTGTAGAATCTATGTCATTTGATAAGGCACCTACCAGGTATGTGAAATGTAGCTTGCGCCATCAAAGAACTCATTATCATGTAGCTTAATTGTAATGAACTTAAATGTAACTCACCACATGTGGCTAATGGTTACTGTATTAGACAAAACAAGAGTCTCAGGGACCACTCAAGAGGTGGGTTCCTGAGTCTGTAACTAAGGGCCGGGGATAGATGCAATTAACTTCCATTCAATAGCTTGCATGAAGAGGGCTGCAGCTAGACTTTCTAACAGCATTTTCTTTGCATGTATGCGTGTGTGTGAGCCCTGGAGAGGGAAGGGGACCACACTGCCTAAGCTGGAAGCTGAGGTGGGGATTCAGAGCAGGTGTGAAGACTACCCAGACACCAATCACATGACTGAGGGTGTCACTAATTCATTCATGCCACTGGCCACACACACACACACACACACACACACAATCAAGAAAGCAAGAGGCAGGATACACCCTACCTCTTGTGATTATCATGGAACAAAATGATTTGAGGAAAGTCCTCTGGGACCTCAGGTAGAAGGCTTTTCAAGGCTTCTGATAGCAACTTCCTTTAATGTAATATAGCCTTAAAACTTCCATATCCTTTGACTTACTTTGTCAAACCATAGCAACACAGAAGACAACTTAAAAGCTGAGAGAGGGGGCGGAGGATTTGGAGAACGTGCCTTGCGTCAAGTCTGCACAGCTAAGACTCTGCCAGCTACCTACTTATTTTAAACACTGTTATTTGGCTCGTGTCTTCTTGTGGTTCCGACAATGATGCTGAATGTTTCTTCAAAGCCAGAAGAGTGCTACGGAGCACATTAGCAAGAGGGTTGCAACTGATATGACCCCAATGGCTCCCCTGGTCCCCCCTCCCCGACCTACGCATGATTCACAAAGCTGACTTTAAATTTTAGTTGTCATACCGGTTTCAGGTTGACTTGGTCAAATTAATAGGTAGTGCTGCCTCTTAAGCAAGAACCCATTCAACTGCCAGGGAGAAGCCTTCCACTGTAAGTCCTCCCACTTTCCGGTGAGCTTTCCCTGGTGAGGGTGCTGGTCTCTTACCTGCATGTTTCAAAGCCCTTGCTCAGGGCCATCACCATCTGGTCCATGGTGGGCAGAGTGCTGTTGAAAGCTTGGCAGAGGTCAGCTGCCTCAGTCCGTGAGATGCTGTAGCGGCCATTTTTCTCCACGTGGAATACACCTGCATAGCGGCAGGTTATGTTCAAATCTGTGGGATCAAACAGAAATGTTAGAGTCTTTTGCATGAATAATTTGTAGAAAACTAGATCAGTGGTAAGAAGGGCTTGTAGTGAAGACATTAAAAGAAACAGGAAGGAAAAAAAGCCAAACAGCAGGTTGGGGTGATGGCGCAGTCAGTAAAGTGTTTGCTTTGCAAGCATTAGAACCTGAGTTTAACCCCCCAAATCCACATATAAAAAGCTGGCTATCGCGGTCAGCATTTGTAATACTAGGGCTGGATGTGACAGGCAGATCCCTTGGAATCTCTGCCGAGCCAGCTTAGCCTTCTTGGTGAGTTCCAGGCCAATGAGAGACCTTGTGTCTAAAAACAAGGTGAATGACACCTGTGGAATGACAGCCAATGTTTTCTTCTTGCCTCAACATGCATGTGAGAACAGTCAGATACATGTGAATCTATACACACATGCATACTCATGAAAGCCAGATAATTGCACATGGTATCTCACACTTGAAATCCCAGCACTCGGGAGATTGAGGTGGGAGAATTACCTAGGTTCAAGGCCAGTCTGGGCTACAATTTGAGTTACAGGTCAACCATAGCCACTGTGAAAGACTTTATCTCAGAAACATTAACAAAAATCCAAGTAAACAGCGCCACTGATGCAGCCTTCAAAATTTACTCTGGCTTTCCAAAGATATATCAAGCTTAAATCTGAGACATGACATCATAAAGGATCCCCATCCTTAAAGTAACTCCATCAACAAAGAGTTTTAAAGCATATTCTTTAAATTAATATAAACTCATAAGATACTTATCAAATCCAGTGAAGTAATGAAGGAACATGTCAACTACTAAGGAAACCACACACACACACACACACACACACATGCAATAGCATTACATTACATACACAGTTCTGTATTTGGGACCTGTTCCTCACTTATTCTTATATTATGAGCACGTTTTCACAATCAACTGGCGTTGCTTCTGACTGTATCACTTCTAACACTGTATATGCAGCTGCACCCAGAATAAACTTCCTCCTGGTCAAAACCAATGTGATCAGGCTGCAGACTCCCTCTCTCTCCAGCCTGGGAGTTGCTGGCTCTCCTCCAATCACAAAGTTGTCCCATCAGGCACTCTGAGCTCCTCCAGATCTGAGAACGCCACCTGATTTCTTTTCTACATGGATTGGCCTGTCCTTAGAAGTCACATGGATGGTTCACTTCTCTTCTGAACGGTCAGTCCATAACATTTTCTCTCAGCAGTACCCAAGGTACCATGCGAGGAGTTACAAACCAGGTCTGGAGTCAGAAAGAAGTGACTTCTACCTAGATTCTGGACCCTCCGAAGTTCAAGTCACCTACCAACAAGAAAACTGAAGCTAGACAAGGGAATTGCTGAAGAAGGTGGCAGAACCATTTCTCTCTAGAACTCCAGGTTCCTCTTGAATGCAACTTTGTTCCAAATTTCAGAGTGGATTGCACTGGAAGAGAAGGGCTTTCCCCTCCCCCCCAATTGTCCTTTGGTGTCTTGAACCTTTGGAGTTCTGTATTGTATAATTGCCACCAGTACCCTAAAAGCTTTGCATATATATTTAAAAGTCAAGAAACAGAAGCTGGGAAAGAATGAAGCAACTTCCACCAGACCGCAGCTTTTAGATGGCTGAGATAGGAACTCCCCTCAGATGTGTTGAACTCCCTCAAACAGGGTTTCCAAGCAGTGTTCCATGTGCTCAGAGCCTTTCATGCCTAGGACAGGGGAGAGGCACACCTAAACAACTGTTTCACGATGATGAAATTGAGTCCATTATTATGAGTTATGGTTACTACAGGTGACAGCTGCCTTCTCCTAGAGCAGGAAGCGGGTTCCAAACACGACAAAGCAGTGTCAGACAGAAGCAAAATGAAGAAACAAGATGAAACCCAGGAGAAGGCATAAGCCAATGCAAGTTGGTTTCTTTTCCTCAATTTTTGTCATCAGCAAGCAGGTACTTTAAAAACGAAAAACCACGAAACACTGGAAGCCATGAAGAAAAGACGCCTTGTGCAGTTAATTCCTTATCTACAGGACCCAGTGTGTTCTCCGAAGCCTCTCATGCAGTTCTTGGCTGGTGAAGCAATGAGCACACACAGGAAGGAAATGCAGAAGGGCCCTTTGAAATGCTGTTTATTTTTACTGACATTTCAGTTGAGGTCTCGGTTGGCCAGTTTCACAAAGGGACCCTGTCACTCAGAGAGGCAGCCCTTCCAGGCCTCTTCCTGCTCCAGCATACAGAAGGAAAGAGAAGTGTCTTGAAATCAGCTTCTTGCAGGTGAAGCTGCTGGGGACTTCAGTCAAATGCAACCTGACCTGCTGACTCCTGGCCCAGGTGGTTGCTGTCAAACTCCTGGTTTAAAAATAAAGGCCGAGGCTTGGACAATGGTTTGGAGATGAGAGGCAGTTTCTTTCTTATGAAAATCAATTCTAGCTTGCCACCTGGCCAATGGAATATGCAAATTAAAGAGAAACCAATGCAAGCTGAGACTTTTGAGTAAAATCCCTTGAGTTCCATGAGCAGTAAGCAATGTTACTTAAGAGACAGTGTCAATACATGGTGGTTATTCAGTAAGTGTGCCCGAGATTGACTATGTATGTGTGTGGTTCATCATGGGCATACCAGACAGAGAAGCTCAGCCTTCATCTTGCGCTAGCTTAGCCAGGGGCCTGACATACTACAGACATCTGAAACGGTTGCTGGGTGAATAAGAAATTCTCAGAAAATATTTCTCTTAATCTTGTGAGAAAGGATCCAACTCCTAACCCCAGTGGCATCTGGACAGTTAAGAACTGCAGCGATGAAGGTCCGGGCTTCCAGTACAACTATCACGTGAGTTGTTAATCATCCTTTAGCTGAGGATCACTCTGGCCTTAAAATGGACCAAACCTTCAGGTCTGTGTATCATCTAAACCCTGACAATTTATAAGGAACTCTCTTCCTTATATTTACATAAGCCCTGGTTTTTACCCCCAAGGGTGTTAACAATCCCATGAGCAATAACAATGGTGAGTACTTCTTTGGATGCCAGACACCCTTACAAGCCTTTCACAAAGGTTAACAAATCTTCTTAAAACAACCCTAACAAGTGGGTAATATTAATCTCCACTCTCCAGACAGAGAAACTGAGGCATGGAGAAGAGGAACTATAGAGACATGCCCGGGGTCACAGAGTTGCGGTAGTGCACAGATATTCAAACCCACCTGGACTGGACTTCTAGGACCCACAATTTTCACCTCTATCTTCTACTCCTAACCCCAAAGTAGGCAAACCCCAAACTCTCCTGGCCTCCTTATCCCACCAATGCATAGCCAACAGCAATTCTGGGTATCTCGAGAGCATGGGTGAAATGGAAGCAGCAAGCACCACAGAACATCTCTAGCAGAGAGCAGGAGTCCACGGCTGTGGGGAAGAGCTGCAGCACATCTGTCTGCAGTTGTTTCTTCAGAAACAAAAGAACTGCTCTGACTTTTGAGGCAGATATTAGGGCTGAGGGGATAACTCAGCCCATAAAAAACAAGCATGAGGTCCTGTAAGAAAGCCGACAGGGTGGTACACTCTTAGAATCCAGTGCTGAGGACACACTGATACCCATGCCTTCCCTGCCAGCTAGCCTAGCTTTCATGGTTAGTGCCAGGTCAGGTAGAGACACTGTCTCAAAGAAAATAAAAGGTGAACAGAACAACTTCTGAGGAATGAGAGATTATGTTGTCTTCTGGCTTCCACGTATATTCAAACACCTAAACACCTGCACATGTGCACCCATATGCATTCATGCACACGTATGGGAACACACGCCATGCATGTGCACATAAAGAAGCTAATATTATATTACAATGGCTCCTCTCCAACAAGTCCTTCCTAATGAAGATCCACTAAGAATGCTTTCCTGCTGAGCCCTCCGGTCTCCAGTAAGTCTCCTGTATCTTGCAATGACTTGAACTCTCCTAAGCCCCACCCTTCAAGAGACAAAATGGGCTCAGTGAAAGATGTAGACTGAAGATACTTTCTGATTCCAAGAGAAGCCTCCAGGGAGTCATGCCATTCCTTTAGAGTTCTTAGGCAGGCTGTTAGCAGGGCAGGGGCATCCCTAGGCCCATCATCTAAGAGTCTGGTCTGCCTGTCCACAGGAAGACCAGGAAAAGGAGACCACGAGTGTCTTTGCAGGCACATGGGAAGGGCAATAGCTTAGCCTAGTTCCGATCTTCCCGGACTCTGCCGCCCTTGGCAGGTGGCACAATTAGGTTGCTGCTTGGCCTCTCTGATGTTCAGCCATATTGAAGCAGAGTCTGTGGGACTCATTAAATGAAATTTGGTAAAAATGGAGCTTATAACAAAACTGTGAGTATTGCACACTTGTTAACTGCCTTAGAAACTTCGCCAACACACTGGCAAAGTCATTTTAAAATTTTTTATTATTTTGAAATCAAAACATAATTATATAATTTCCCCTTACATCTCTTCAGACTCTCCCATCCCTCTCAAGGCCATTTTAAACTTTCTATCTATCTATCTATCTATCTATCTATCTATCTATCTATCTATCTATCTATATCCTCTTCAATGTTACTTGTATATATATGATTTCAGGGCTTACCCAAGTAGGGTACTCATTGCTGGGGAAGAGTCTGGAAAACCCATCCTTGGAGATGAAAAAACTAAAGGACAAAGTGGTGTCCAAAGTCATCCAAATAGAAGAGTCAGATTTCTAGCCTGACGTAGACTAGATTAAAAATCACTCTCAGAAAAGCCACAAATGACCTAAGGCACCATCCTCCTTAAGGCTGGTTTTTCCTAAGCCTTTCAGATCAAGAATGATAGATTTCACTAGGGAAATCACCTTAGTGATTTAACACTTTGCTTACACTGTAGAGTCAGGGAGAAATGGGTTCTTCCTACACCCAGTCATTTCCTAAGTGGGAGAAAATCATAACACCATCTGAAAGGGAGCCACTATGCAATTTCCACTCAAGTTTCCATTATGTGCAT